AAAGCAGATCATCATAAGTGTACATATGTACACGTGCACACATGAGTGCACATGCTGCACCAGTTAAGCTACTCGACATACTTATTCATTGAACACGATGAAGGACAATGCAACAGATGGCGTCCCTTCTTTCATGGGTATGACCCCATAGAGACGACAACATGCATGTCGATGCACACGGGACTTAGCCCCTCGGTACGCGTTCAAGGTCGCATCGCAGCACGCGAAAGAGCTCCTTTGATTTTGTAGAACTATCCTTTGCTCCACAACCAAAGTGACTACCGATAACAGTGCCAACGAGAGGCAGGAATGGATCATAAGCATCGTCCAATGTGGTAAATGTATAGACAAAAAAAAAAAAAAAAAAAAAAAAAAAAAAAAAAAAAGAATTCCCACGCACTCTCATTCGACATGCCCTGCTTGATGAAACGTACCAACTGGTAGACACGTCCGAATTTTAAAAAAAAGGAGAAATGAAGACAAATTTGTTTAAAAAAAAAAAAACACCACAAGAAGAACATAAAAAGATATATACAAAACTATGAAACAATTTTACCACGGGGAAAATAAAACTTCTGGGGCATCGTCTGACAGGGCCAACAAGACACTCAGCCAAGATGAAATAGCTGGGGTTCCTTTAACAGGGTGGAAAGCAGAAAGCGCTGGCTCACCCGAACAACAACGAAGCATATCATATCGTGAAGCAAAAAATGGAAATGTTATCCCCCCCTCTATAGCCTCCAACAGTGATAACAAAACAGGCTCATCACGCAGCTGCTGGAGTTACTCCCCCCCAGACTTGAACGCACAAAAAAATAAACAAACACATATGCATGATAATCATATAGCAGAAACAAAAAAGGCACACACACCTATAAGCACCCCTCTGCGTATATGCTTGGTAAAACGGTTAAACGGAAAGGTTGAACAAATTCACATGAAGGATATACACACCGCCTTCCCCAACTACATACCATATGAGAGAAACGACAACAGCGCATTCCTCTCGTCAGTCTTTAGCTCCTCAGAAGACAAGGACAAAACCCAAGGCAAGGTAGGAGACATTTCAAACCTCCCTGTGGTGTATCAAAATGTGGAACTCAACTTGGATCTGGTGAAAAAATGCAGACAGGCATCCACAAGTAGGAAGGCCTTCTCCGAGTAAAAAAAAAAAAAATATATGTACATGTACATATTAAAATGGAGGGGGGGAAAAATGAAAAACTGACCTGTACATTTCATCCCTGTTTTAAAATCTGCACTCTCATTTTTGTTTCCTCTTTTTTTAATTTTCAAAATGTGAGGGGCTCATACCGTTGCCTTCCTCACGAACGCATAGCGACATGTGCTCCATACACATCACCACTGTCACATGATGTTCGCCAACTCTTCACTGGAGCCTTCCCATTGACAAGCTACTGCTCATACATATATGTTGCCCGATTCTCCTTCTTTTCGATTTGTATCCCCACAAGCAGGATCCGTCAACAAAGTGCCAAACGTTGTGCTAAGATCAAACTGCCTATTGGGACAACCCCGTCCCCAAGTCAAACGGGCAAGTGTTAACAGGAGTAACTCCATGTGAAGGATTCAGGGAAAAAAGATTTTCACGCATGGGTTACAAAACGGTTGACACTTCTCCTACGCGCGGCCATTCGTGTAAATCTTTTGATGTGCCTAATTTTATGTCCATTTCGCTTTTCCTTTCCCAATTCAGCTCGAGGGTCCCATCAGAAAGCGTCCTCACAGTACAGAAGTTTCAGTTGCAACAACACCATTTATAATCCTTCTGGTTGCCACCCGAGCAACGGACTAAGATCCACCTCACAGAAACGAACCTTCTCAAATGTACAAACATGGAATAGCGCCACACGACAGGGATCGAACTTTTTTTCTTGTGGCCAAAGTCCCATTAGGAGGTTTCAGTCTGCTCAGGTAATGCTGCTGTGCAAGGGGATCACAAACATGCGTGACGAAGTGGGAGGGGAGGGTCCTTTCTCCCTCTTCTAAAATATTGTTTCACCATATACAATGTATCGTTGTAGCGGCTGATGGCTATTTCCAATTTGCCCTTGTTCAAAAATGCTACTCCTTTTTTTGAACCATTCCTTCGCGTGGTTGTTGTTTGTTCGTTCTATGCTCCATGCCCCAGTGACCGTAGCAATCCAGATCCTTTTTTTTTTTTTTTTTTTTTTTTTTACTGTGGTCTCTTCTCACCGCAGCACCCTCAGAACGAAACCACGTTGTCACTTTGCTCACCACAAGTGGTTGCTTCGAAACGGGATGCCACGCCCCAAACGAGTTTACTAAAGCCATACGCCATGCCCATGCTGTTAAAGCACTCTACAAATATGATCCTGAGCCAGTTAAAAAGTAAATCAGAGTTGCATTATTTATTTCGCCCCATCCATTCTGCAGCCACTTGCACATATGGATTGACCCCCAAGTCGTGTACACGATTAGCGCTTAAGAAAATTTGCCCCCTACACCACTGCAACTGTCCCCTCAGAGACCAAAGGCAACGAGAGGACCCACGCTAAGGGAACAAGTACGACGATAAAGAACAAGGATAAGCAGAAAGAGGTACAATTTGGTCCAAGTGCATTTTCAAAAAAACAAATAGATAACCAACCTATTGTTGATGGCCAAATAGACAAAGTGGAGTATCCTCGCAGCAATGGCTCCTTTAAGGACTACCACCAAGTGGTGGCAAGCAGCCACTCGTGTAGTAACTCTCCAGTGGGATGCAAAAAGGAAGATTTGACCCTTCAGAGGGTAAGTTCCCTCTCTGTACGGCATACACTACGGCAGAGCAATGACGCATGACAGTTGCGCCCCCCGTTTCTCCCCTCCCACCTCCGCAGATGCTTGCGAAGACAACCAAAGTAAAATCAATAGAAAAGGAAAAGTACATAGAAAAGGTAAACTCATACAAAGTGATATACCAAAGCGACGACTTTGTCAGCATCTACCAAAACAGAGGAGACAAAATAATTAATGATCACTGCATTGATGTGTCCACATTGCTATGTATCCCTGGCTATGCTGGGGGTTACCTATGTGAGTCAAATTCGACCATTAATCAGTCCCATGCTAATGGAAAAGAAAACTCACAAGAGGAAGATACAAAAGGAAGTGGAAGCGTAGCCTCTGCTAGAAGCTTCACTGCACACCCAAAACAAGAAGAAGACAAACTTTGGATAGACCCCAATGTCGACCTTCTAAATGAAGACCTAATTTTATATCATCTTAGAAAAGCTATAAACAGCTCACTCACACTTAACGTCGATTTGCAGTACCTGGCACTTTTGAACAAACGCCTGAAGAACAGAGATTCGGTAGGAAACTCTTTGTGGGGTCCGAGGGGAAACCTGTCCCCACAGTACAAACTAAACTGAGGGGAATTTACAAAGTTGACATAGCTAGCTAATTCAAGACGAATCTTTCAAAAAATAAAACCGTCACCGCCACATGTGTGATGACTCCGGAGAATGTGCTCCCGTCAGACGGCTCAAACAGACATCCTTGACGCATGATCATAACGCTTACTTTGCAAAAACATGTCGTGAAAAAAAAAAAAAAAAATCGTTTTTCCACACAAAATGACAGCACTGTGTGTAATTGACATTTGCTGAAAAAGTTGACCTCCTCTTTTACTACACAATTGTATTTCGTTGGAAGCTCTGTCTTTTCACTTCCCTCCCCGCGTTGGCCCTAGCGCAAGAACAACGTGTTTCAGTAGTTTTGATATGGGCCTCGGTTGAAGCTCCACACTGTTAATTAATTTACTTTTTTTGTTGCTCATTCTTTCCATGCGTTATGTCACCACCCAGAGGTGGAACGGTTCTACTACCATGCATTTGATTTTGTGTTTTCCTAGTTGATCTTCCTCCGTTATATGTGGTAGCAGACTTTCTTTTTTTTTATCACTGCAGCTTCTTCCTTATGAATATATGTATTCTCCTTTTAAATTGTCTCAAAATGACGCATAGAAGAATGTACAGTGTTTATGCCCGTTCCCCCAACATCCCATTTTACGCACATTTCGTTCTGTTCCTCGCCACATGGCAACTAACCTTGTTAAGCAAAATGTGTGACACCATAAATAGCTTTACACGTATATAAATAAAAAAGAGGGTTTCAACATGGAAACGCAAAGAAGGGAAAATCTGAACGGCACACACTTGTACACAAATAAGGACGGGCATCAAACAATTTTAGTGAACATACTACAACTTCGTCCCATTTGTTTGTTATCATTTGTGAGCCTCACAGCCCTCATGAGTTTTCCTTTCAAATTAAAACATAGGCAGCCAGGCAGAACGATGAACGAAGAAGGACAAAGGAAGGAAAACGGGATTTTGAATGGAGAATTTTTATCGTACTGCAATTCACCCATGGATAAAAAAATGTATACACTTTTTTTTTTTCTTTAACCCATATTTTTTTAAATGTACACATAAGTACTAACATTTTACACTATTTTTGTTTATACAAAACGCTCGCCGTTTTTCTTTCATTTGCGCCAACACAAACAAAAGATTGTCACAAAATGGTACAAATCTTTTAAACGCGTTTGGAGTTTTATTTCATGCGAAATGTTTTACGTGCACAAATTCTGCCATTTTTGTCATCATAATATACACCGAAAAATTGCGCAGTGTAAAATACGTCGGAGGCAACTGAATGTTAAGCGGCTACAGTGTTGAAACGGTTGAACGGGCAAACTGTTGAGCAGCTAAAGGAGTTTAAGCAATTTGCATTACCCCACTCCCTTTGTATATTTCCGCATACTTCTGTATTTGCATACTTTTTTTTTTTGTTCACGTGAATGTACATTATATGCACGTTAACGCTTTTTTTCCACCGCTTTACACTTTGGACTTTGTAACATTTTTATTTTAAAAAAAAAAAAAAAAAAAAAAAAAAACACTTGTTCGCATAACAGTATATGCAAACAGCATATGCAAAGATTACATGTCGCATTTGTACGCATAAAAGCGAACAAAATAGTAACAGTAATTTTTTTTTTTTACCAGGGGAAAACAGTATTTAAAAAGCAACAAGGAGTATATTATGGATTAGCGAGCTTCTGTTAGCAGTTACAATTCCTTTTCAAAGTTATAGAAACCAATAATTCCCGAATTATAAAATTTTGCCTTTTAATAATGGACGAATTTCAGAGTAAGCACATGTTATACGCGTATATATACGCTTTTATCTGTATGTATATGAAAAATGCCATGTTGCATTTATAAATGCCTGAAGAAAATACAAGAGGAAAACCATCATTTTTGAAAAAAAGTTGCCTAACCAGAATGTATACCTGGACGGCTACTAAACACTTGTCATTTTTCACCCTCTCATGAATGCTCCCTATGTGTGGATAATTCCTCGTGGATGTTGTGAACGGACGTGTGCACATGCTTCACATATGTCTGCAGAATGTTCCTGCGTGTTTTGTGTACCGCCAAAGAGGTTACTCATTTGTGTGTGGTCTCTTCGCTTCCCCCCCGTTATTTCGCAGATTCAGGGCTAAATAAGTACAAACTTGTTTTTCTAGGAGAGGTACGAATGAGCAGCAAAAAAAAAAAAAAAAAAAAAATTAACATGTGAACAGCGTCTTCAAATTATTCTGTCCTCCCTTTTACACCTTCATCATTTCTATCACCCTTCCCCCGTAGCAAGCTGTTGGAAAAACTTCGATAATTACCAGATTTATGTATGACACCTTTGACAACAACTATCAGGTATGGCCAGCGCAGACACAGACAAGATGATAAAACGAACTAGCACTGGTCCACCCTTCACGTGTCTACCTTTGTATGCGTTTTTCCGCGTTGCAACGGTCCACATATTTATTTTAAAACCGTGATCGTGTGGAAAAATAAAATAAAAAATAGCTAATTGTCCATCCCGTTGCGAAATAGCTAGCTAGTTTTTTTTTTTTTTTTTTTTTTTTCCCCGTTCATGCGAAAGAAGTTGATATGTACAGTATCATGAATATGGAAACATTAATTTGTACCTATTCCCTTGTTTTTCCCCAAGTCCACCATCGGGATAGACTTTCTCAGCAAAACCTTGTACCTGGATGAAGGGCCAGTGCGCCTGCAACTATGGGACACGGCGGGTCAGGAACGATTCCGAAGTTTAATACCAAGCTACATCAGAGACTCAGCTGCAGCTATCGTCGTTTATGACATTACCAACAGGCAGTCATTCGAAAATACAACCAAATGGATACAAGACATTCTAAACGAAAGAGGGAAAGACGTGATCATTGCCCTAGTGGGAAATAAAACTGACTTAGGAGACCTCAGGAAAGTTACGTACGAGGAAGGGATGCAAAAGGCTCAAGAGTACAATACAATGTTCCATGAAACCAGTGCCAAAGCGGGCCACAATATAAAAGTCTTGTTTAAAAAAATTGCCGCCAAGTTGCCGAACCTTGATAACTCCAACGCGAACGATGCCAATGTCGTAGATATACAACTCACAAACAATGCAGCTGCGAATGAAAAAAATTTTCTCAGCAAGTGTATGTGTTAACGTGTCGTCGCGCAGCTAACCATGCGCTGCTATGAGTCCAAGTGACACTTGCCAGTATGTTACTTTATAATATGTTTCCCCCCCCCCGCCCTCCTTACCCTTCGTTCGTCTTTTTTTCTTTCTTTTTTTTTTTTTTTAATATTGTTAATTTTTTTTTTTTTTTTTATAATCCCAGAATTTTTTTTTTCATCGAATTTTTAATAATTCTTTTATAATTAGGAATAATAAGCGTTATAAAAATATATTAAAAATTTCCCCCATATATCTGCAATCTTCTATCTGCATGTGTACCTACACATTACCCTATGCGTTCGTGCATACATACTTGTGCGTGTATTTACATTTGTTAGTGACAAGAACTAATGTAGCTTCATCTTAATTTCAAATGTTTTAGTTTTTTTTTTTTTTCTTTTTTTACCTCCATGTTCCTATTTTAATACGCCATTCCGGTTTGACTTGCCTCCGAGTTGTGTTCGAATGACCAGCGGGGGATGATCGATAACGGTAGACACACACACCAGGTGAGCTTGTGACCACCGCGCACTGTTAACCTTTCAAACAGGTTTGCTTACCCGCCGAGACATTTCCATCGTTTCTGTGAAACCACCTGTGGTTTTTTCAAACTAGGTGGTGCCTACAAGGTCAGGGTTTGCTACTTGCGTGCTTCCCTTGACGCATTTTTTTTTTTTTTTTTTAAAAAGCTAATTTTCAAAGTGTGTTCAGCACGCTTCATAATTGGTGTGAAGAGCACCCACATGATGTTGTCTCTGCTTCATTTCGAGCACCTCATTCGATTGTTAACCCAAAAATGGTTACTCGTTGGACACGCATATGTCCCCATGCGGGTAGGGATGTACATATGTGTGTACGAGTGTACCCCTGCAGAGGCACACCCATGCCATTGTAACTTAAGGGGGCCATTTTTACAACCCTGTGAGGTGGTTCTTCACCTGGGAAGACGCTAAGAAAGAGTCACAAATAAAACTACAATGAAGAATCCCCTCTCACTAAGATGTAACACAAATTGCGCTCAAAGTCGTAATTGATTATTCGTATTTTTCCCTGACACATCCTCTCTTTCAAATAATTAAAATTTTTTTTAATATTAATATTCTCGTCATTTTGATGACAAGTTTGTTTTTCTGTTTTATCTTTTAATTCTTCCTTCATACTTTTTTTTTCCAAATTGTCTTCCCCATTTGAGTCCTGGTCCATTTTTTCACCCTGGTCCTCCGTTAATTCGCGTTTCTTTCTGTACCTCTGGAGTGTTTTTTTAATTTCTACGTATTCCTCCTTTATCGGGTCAAAGTCGAGAAAAATGAAATCCTCATGATTGAAGGAGTCCACTGGGCTGATGCTATCAGGGGAAGGTTTCCCATCCAGATCGTGACTTTCCATATCTCCTTCATTTCTTCGCAGTACCGTTTGTATATCGATGGAATCCTTTTCTTCCATTTTGACAACGTTCGCGAAATCAGCTTGGAAATCCTTTTTACCTACAACATCAGGAGTTTTGAGGAGATGTACCTTTTCCACTTGGCCTATGTGATCGTCTGGATGGTTGATCATAACACATTTTTTATTACACTCATTTTTTTCATTTTTTTCACTGCTGCTATGTAGGGAATTGAGAGTGGTTTCCCTTTCAATCGAGTCAGTCGTTCCCATGTCACACCATGATTTGTGCAGGTCCTTCATTTCAGTGTCACTATCCTTTTTGTTCTTCCCTTTTCTACTTAGCTTGACACTTCCGACCTCAGTATGGGATTCATTTATCTGGGACCTTTGCCCTAAGTCTGTGGTGCCTGTGCTCGAATTTCGTTTCATACCATATGACATGACGGCACGGCTGCTTTCCTTTTTTTTATCTCCTTCTGTGAGCATGTCAGGTGTGTTCTCTATGTCAGGCGGGGCGTCACTGCAATTTTCACTGCAAGGCCCATTAGGGCTGCTACTCCCGTGGGCTCTCAAACTGCTCGTTGGGGTTCCGCCTGGACTATCTCCATTTTCACCCCCACTGTTTGCCTGGCCCCTTTCATCCCCTCTCATTTCATTCTCGGAGAAAAATCCTCCCAACATGGGAACCCGAGCCCCATCCATGATTTCTGCAGGTACGTTTCCCGTTTTTAAAGAAAAAAATTTATCATTTTTTTCACCATTATGATTGGAGTCGTCATCGACATCATCAGTGCGGTCATCACACATGTCCCTCTTGATGGTGGTGCTACTACGTGGATGGAAGACACCCTCAGGGATGTTCTTTCTCACCTTCATATAATCACATTTGGGTGTTATAAAATGGGGTTTTTTACCTCTTCCAAGGAGCAGGTTATACTTGTTCATCATGCGCAGGTAACGTTTATTCCTTTCTTGGTCTGTCTTTCCGGATGTGTCAAGACTGCGACGAGGGTGTTTTAACATTTTTGTTTCCTTTTCGTTAGGACCCCTATCTGATGACTGTTTTATGCTTTTCCTGCCTGACAATTCCTGTTTTCTCTTTTTTTTCGCCCTTCCGTTGGCCCTTTTTTTCCTCTTTAATGATTTCTTTTTCCTTCCTAAAGTGTCTCGTTCGATGGAGTAAGTCGCGTGAGCCTCCTTCTCCCTCTTCCGTATATCCTCTCCAGTTGCGCTCCCCCTTTCGCTCTTATTCTTGTTAAGCAATTCAAGCAGGGTATTGTGCCCAAGAGATCTTATGGGAGTATCCTCTTCATTCTGAGTTGCACCCTGCATGGTGTCTTGTCGACTTTCGTGATTGGGAAAAACACCGCTGACGGGATGTCCACACACACGTCACATCCACATATGTAGGAGGTTCAAGTCGATGGGGTAGAGGGCAGCCAAGAGTGAGGCCACACGCGGGCATATCAAAAAAAGAAGAAGCTACGTTTCAGTTTGGGCTGCTGCAACAGGGGACACACTTTTTCATGAATACAAGGTGGTGCAAAGAGGAACGCGGTAGGACACAAAACAAACACTGTGGTTTTTTACAACAGTGCAGGCTGACTTCCTTTTAAAAGTTAGCCGACAAGTGATTTATTATAATAGGACATGAGGCAGGAAAATGTTTTTTTTTTTTATTTTATTTTTTACTTCCCACATGGGACATACATTAAAAAGGCAAATAGCGAGAGAAGCATTAAAAATACACAAGCCTTATGCCATTTTTTTTTTAATGCATTTATTTCCATAAGGCGAGGTGTGTACAATTCTGCACATTTATATGTGACGCCATTTTTGTTGGCGCATTCGGAACACAGCCACCTGCAAGGCTGTGGGTGCCTTAATTCGGTGGAAAAAAAAAAAAAAAAAAAGATAATAATGTAACAATGTAACAACATGAAGAATACTTTCCCCGCTATGCAACACACAAGCCATGTGTGCACAACCCCGGAGATGAGCTCTCAAGGAGTTCAATTGTGTGCGCCCTGTGCCCCCCCAAAAAACTTATTTTTTAATTTTTCACATTTTGTTCACCATGCTTTTTGCAGATACACTTAGTCATTCTTGAGTCGCACATGTTCGTGTGATTAAGCTTTTCCCCGTGCCGCTTGGCTTGGTCATTGATAACCCATTTCGCGGCCCAACCAACGCGACTCCCATAATAGTGCTGAACCTGGCGCAGGAAAAAAAAAAATGAAGCCCTCCCAGTCAACACACACACATCAATTACACCACATAAAGAAATGGGTATACAGCAATTTCTCACCTGCATTATAGCAGCATGTGTCCTTTTAACCTCTAATGTGCTATCCTTTCGTAATGGGGGGATTATGGAAATGCACAATTTGACCAAAGTTAATGTGAAGCAATGGGGAAGAATAGGAGATGCGAAAGGTAGAAGGGACACTGGATCATCGGGGGTAAAGTTATTTTATTCGTTGAACAACACCCCAAGGACAAATGTCAAAATTAGGCACAGCCATGTCCACATGTCTTTAAAACAAAAAATGAATTTCATTTTTCAAGGCGAAAGTGATATTACCTTGTTGGACAAGCTCATAGCCTCCACCAGCTACATTCTTCCCTTCATGGATGCTATTCAGGTGGGTTTTCCAGGGGGGGGTACTATGCACATCATACCACATAATGGCCTCTACCCAGTTACGCTTTGCCACACACCTTGGCCGGCCACTTCTTCACCCGCCCCCACCCCGTTTCAAGTTCATCACAACATTGCCGCTTCCAACTTTGTCCACATCAAATGCAGGCTTTCGTCATGCCACTCGTAAATATGCTCCCCTCGTCGCTACACAAGTAGGATTTTTTTTTTTTTTTTACCCCTCGCACGATTGACAAATGAAAAAAAGAGAAGCACGCGTGGAGTAGAGATATAGCGAAAATGGAACAATCATCACGTACATTCGCAGTGTCTCTTCCAACTAGCATGCCGTTCGTCTATCTGCTTACATCAATGTGCAGTCACGTGTTACACTTATACCCCGACACCCACGTCTCCCCCAGGTACCTCTTCCAAATCGAAAAACTAAACCAGATGTACTCGTCCATCCCCTTTCTATCCTTTGGCACCTTCATGGGTCTGTACTTCCTCTTCGTCAAGGAAAACCGCTTCAAGTTTCACTACTTCATCAGATACCACCATATGCAGGTACGGAAGATTAACCATTCGTATAGACATGTGTCAGCGTCAACATGGCAAATTTGCCCACCAATCCACTACCACATGAACAGGCAAAAAAAAAAAGAGGACGTAATTTTCCTCATCCCGCACACTCATTCCATCCTTCTTATTTCCTTTTACGAATTCACAGAGTTTGATCTTATCCATGTTTGGCTATGCGCTGGCTTTGTTTTATTTCCGAGTCCTTCCCTACTCCTACAACGACACGGACATATTGAACTTGACATTTTTGTACTCCACAATGGCCATCTACTTCGGCTCTCTGATCATTCCGTTCCTCTCGTCTTTGCTTGGATAGTAAGAAAAAAGGATCAACCATAGGGGACGTGCCGCCGTCTTTCCCACATATGTGTATACACATGCATAACTGTTGTGACGAGTAACCTTCACGTACACTGCATCACCCCCCCACACACAAACCCTTTCGCAGCTACATCGAAATACCAGTCATATCAGACGCGATTAAGCTACACATAGGCGAAAAAAAAAAAAACGACTGAAGCAACACACCTGAGTTTACCCAAACGCAGTACACAATAAAGAATGTTCCAAGTGCGCAGAGACTACCAAGACACGGTCGCCGCTACCTCCCATACCCCACCCATCTTATACAGTTTTTTCACCAAAACGGGGAACTGCCCATCGGATCGATTAACAAGGGGGGAAATAAATTCACCAAATAGATCAAATAGCCAAAGCCGGCCTGACTGCCCAGGTAGCCACGTTGTCCCAATTTCACCAAACTCGAAAAAAAAAGAAAATTTCACAAACTTATGAGACGCGCGTGTGGGCCTTACTGCCACACCCGGGATAAAATTTGTAAAAAAAAAAAAAAAAAAAAAAAAAAAAAATTGCACAGTGCAGCACTGCGCGGCGACGTACTCTTGCAACTGTTTTCCCCGCATGGGGTGGACGGGCATCTCCCTGGTAAGGAATTCTGGCAATCCTTCATCACACGACTGAACTGCGAGACAAGTGCGCCATGCTTGGCAAACGAATAAATCACTTTGTGCGCTAAACCCCTGTGGGCAGCCCTTCGCTGATAGCTATACGATGACAACTGAACCAATAAGTTAAGCGACGATATCTGTGCGCTCGCGTCAACCAATGCAGTCCTTCAAAAAGTACACCGGTTTCTTATCCGTGACTCGTTTTTTTTTCACGGCTATTTCGTCTAAGATATTTTTTATGTAATTGGATGGGATGTTAAAACTTTTGGCAAAAATGGAAAAGGGGACCCCTTTTTTCCCTTCTCGCTCGAATACTTTGAACATACTAATTTTCGCCTTATCGAGATCGAAAACGTGCATTTTTTTAACCTGTTTGGCTTTTTGTTTGGAAGCAGAGGAGGAACCGAAATGGCCATCAGTGTCCTGAAGAGTCCGCTTGTTACTCTTTCCAAGTCTGTTGTCCCTACTGCTCGTGCTGCTCACGCCATGCAGGTGAGTCACGCTGTTTGCGCTATTCAGGCCAGAGTCATTCGCTGTGATAGCCGTGCCGGGGACAGTGGCCGCCACACCACCCATACCAGTTCCCGCTCCAGGGGTGTTCAACAGGTGATCATCAGATGTGTAGTATTTAAACAGAGTATGAGAGGAATCTATATTTTCTTCATTCCTTGTTTCGATAATCGTAAATCGATTTTTTTTCACATTGGTTTTATAGTGTCTTTCCTTTAGTACCAAGGAATAGTCTTCATCTAACGTTGGCAAAAACGAGTATGTATGCTCGCAATTTTTTAACACATCTGCACACACTACATAATCAGTTTCTTTATTCCGTTCCGCATTTTCCTTTACAGGATTGTTCAGGTTAATTTTAACTTTACTTTGATTTACATTTTCGCTAGTTGTTTTACTATTCGAGTTTGTAGGGGCAGTGGTCGTCGTCGTGGCGGACGGGGAGCTGCTAGCAGTCAACCCCTTATTACTCGGTTTTAATGACACTTTACTTTGTTTTAGTATATATGTATTTACCGTACTGCCTTTATTGCACCTTAATTTTTTTACGTTATCAGTGTCATCCTTCTGTACATACAGGGTCGTAATTTCATTGTTGTTTTGCTCAAATAAACCAACAATATCTTTATTGTTATATTGTAGCCATTTATTTGAAACAAACTTTGGCACTTTTATTAATTTTATGTTTTTACATTTCATCGACGCTTTGGACGAGCCGTCATTTTCTTTTCCACCGAGCATTTTTTTCCGCGGTTGGTTCGGCGGTTGGGCGAGGTCAGATGCGTGAGAACGCAGTGGGTGGGTGGACGCGGCGGTTACTACACTTGCGTACAAACTTGTGTGCAGGGGCAAAACTGGTGTGGTGGGGGTGGTGATATAAAAATGCTACAATGCAGCGACGCTACAAAGCTGCAACGGTGCGGTGGAAGCGAAGCTGCGCCAGTGTGGAAGCTCTTTTCCCTTGCGCGCACTCAGGCACATGCCCACTTAACATGGACGCATGTGGGCACCACGCAGATCAACTAAATCGATCTGTTCTGGACCAATGGATCCAAAAAATGTAGGAGGTGAACGGAGGTGGTTTCAAAAAAAAAAAAAAGAAGCAAGTTTTATCACAAAAAAAAAAAAAAAGGATTACCATGCGTTGTGCAACATTGGGACAGTGTTCCCCATTTCCTTCGCCTTTCCTTTTGCGACAGGGTACAAGCATGGCATGTAATTACAGTATATCTACGTGAGAGTATACTCCTTAGCTCACTTCTCACTTGCGCTTGTCAGCAAGTGATGTTACGTGAGATACGTACATTCATTTACATCAAACAAGTTTATGCGCTCAATGTACACAAAAAAAAAAAAAAAAAAAATCGCTCTCACAGGAGTGGCCCATGTGTGAGATGAAAAAAGTTTCATACTTTCCTCTTATTTTTTTACGTACAAAATGGGAAGGTGCCCCAGAGTCGGAGAATGCTTTAATTTGTGAAAAGATCTCAATCAAACGCAGTCAAAAAAAAAAAAAAAAAAAAAAGTGAGCGGTAATGTTAACACTCCGTAAAAAGATAAGTACTACTAAGTGATGGTAGGCTTAAAGTATATATGTATATAAATATGTATTTATATATATCCCATAGCGGGGAAAAAAAGAATGCTCACATAACATGCATACGTACGTTCGAATACATAACGCTTCCATGTAGCATATTAAAAACGTTGCAAGGAAATATATAACCTTGCGGCACTGCTATACCAGCAGCAATGTAGCAAACGCAGAGGGAATTATTTACAGCCCCACTGCGTATGTGCGTTTGCCATACGCTTTTCATTCATTCACATTTTTTATGTGCGCCTTCTTTTCGACCATTGAGATCAAGGCACTATTTCCCGCTATGAATTAAACTGAAAATAAGAGCATAACTCCCGTTTGTGCATTATTTTTGAAAAAAATTGCCACATGTTAAAGCCTATAACGCAGTGTCATGGTATTACGGAAAAACAGATACTTCAAAATTTTTACCTGACCAGGCAATATTCTTTTTTCTGACATACTCCCTACGGTTGAGACAATTTAGGAGCGTTTAAAACGTTGTACTAAAAAAAAAAAAAAAAAGAAAAGAAAAAATTAAAACGTAACATCCCTAAACAGGGGTACTTGAAGGACATAGGCCGTTAACCCATGTGAAGTGCGCGATAGGCCAAAATCACCATGTAGTGGTAAATGCAAACATGCAGTCGCGCATATCTGCTAATGCTTGCTTTAATTTTTCCCGTGCACACAAAGGTTTAAAGCTTGTGCAGGAATTTAAACAAGCGGGGGGGTAGCGCGCAAGCGAATTGGCGTACCTACATATGCATACTTGTAAACGTCTAATTAAGTGAAAATGTCACACTGCAATTATCACACAATATGGTTGGGCAAATTTAATACAGGGGTCTTCAACATGGACTGACAAAATACAAACATATTGGGTCTTATTTGTTCTTGCACGAGGCGGCTGCAGCGTCCTCCAGTAATTTTATGCGTTTACGCCTGTGCTGTTGTTTTTTTTTTTTTTATTCCAATATGGCTAGCTTCGTTATTTTCGCCTGAACAGGTCATACAAATGTGTACATATGTACGTGCACACATATGACCTTTCTCATTTGCTCACTCCCCCCTCACGAAATCATCGAGGTGCAGACGACGTTCTGGTTCATGTCGAAAACGCAAAAGTTGGGAATGGACTCGTGTTGCTTGGACACGAATTTCCGAATTTCTTGCGAAGTTACGCCGCCCATGATGGAGCAGGATGGTGAAAAGGCAACCCTATAAGTCTTGGTTAGTTCATCCAAACTTTCCTTGCACTTCAACAGGCTAAATTGATCACAAAAAGTATAAAATTCCTGTTCGTCAATCGATTTATCATTTTTATTCAGCTGCTTATTTTGTTCGAATAGGATTAGCGCAAACATGGTGTAAATAATTTTGTTCGTTTTTTTGTCAAAGTTTTCAAATGGTACTTTGAGAAAGTGGGACAATTTACAATACTGTATTTGGATACCCGCTTTGTTCGCTCCTGTCTCACCCTTCTTTTGCCCTTCATTCGCCTTATAATACGATTCCTCAATCACGTGATTACCAAAATCGGAGAACAAAAAAGCAAACTTCCCATTACACATTGCAGCGAAAAAGCCAATATTTTTCTCGTGACAAAATTCATTCATCTTCACTAATTTGTATAAAGGGTAATCTTCACAAGAGACGCAAACAGAGCTGTACGTGCTTATGTACTCCTCCACGGTGAATGTTGTTCCCATCGTTGTATTACTTATTTCCCCGTCTCCGTTCTGTACCAATTCGCTATCAATAATTATGCTGTCATTTGAAGTATCCATTCGCCCAATGTATGCCTTTATATTTATCATCTTATTTATACTTTTCAATTCTTTAAAAATTGCTACACATACATGATTCTTTATGTCTGATTCGTTCAAAAAAAATATATTTTCAACCATTTCTTCATTCACTATATTGTCATCAATTATGGTTATGTTAATTCCATTAAGGATTAAATTTTTGCATATTTCTATGTTGATACCGCTTAATCCAAGGATTAGCACGTTGGACTTCATCATTCGGTTTTGTGCCTTCACTCCCCATAGCCGAAGCTGGCGATCGTAGATCTTCTCCTTTTGCCACTCTTCATTGTTTTTCATTTTCTCGTGGGGATGGGTAGTTCACCAATGCGCGCGGGTGAGAAAAGCTACACCGATGACGCAAATGGAGATGCACAACTAATACAAGTGGACACTCCGATGCGAACGCGCTGCAGAACGGATGCTCTACAACTCCCCAGTGCAGTGACGGAAGTCCAATCTGTGCAACAAAACGAAGGAGACGCAAACGTACGGACAATTGATTGCACAATGCCTAACTCACCGAGACATACACACAGACACATGAAAAAAAAAAAAACCCAACAGGAGTACGGATTAAAAGATTAATTGTCACAAAAATAAGCACAAAGAGGCGCTTCAAACGAGCATCACATCATATTGGGGAGGCTGTCTCACAAAAGGAAGCAATTTATCCAATGCGCAGTCGGCAAATTGTCCTTTCTGAGTAACTTCCTTTTCACTTGGCCACTTCGCACCCATAGGAGTGAAACCGGCAAATGTTCGCTCTCCAACTCTTTAAATGATCAGACGGAGTGATATGTTTTAACCTTTGTAAAATTTGTATATTTATTTATGTGGCCATCGGCAATTGTGCCCAAGCAAAATGCCCTCACAATAGTGTAGAAATGTTTTTTTTTTTTTTTTTTTTTTCCCCTTTTTGCACAAACAATTTGTCATACGAGTTACCTTTTACGACTGCCTCATGCCTATGCAGTGCGTGCGGATTGAATATGCATATGTGACGGATGTGCTTTTCTTCCTGCGAAGTAACGCATGGGCATGGATGAATATATATGTGGCCAGTAAAGGTGTATGCTCACGTCGCCCCTACGGAGTGGAAACCCTCGAAATGGCGGGATCTTCTCACCCTGTGAATGCCGCATTGCAATTATTTAGCTGCTCAACGTGCAGGAGAAATAAAGAGTTGATAAAGAGGAAACAGCGAAGAAACTTCCTGTGCGCATAGATTTATCGCTTTCGAGCCAGGGGTTGTGTCAGATGTTCCGGCCCATTTTTGTCCGCATGAGTGTGATACCCCAATACTGAAAATAAAAGGCTTCAAATAAGTGGGAGAAAAAAAAAAAAAAAAAAAAGAGAAAAATGTCTCCATCTTTTCATTCTCCCTTTTGTAAAGCGGCTTGTTTAAAAGTGTCACCAAATGTGTGTAATTGGAAATACGACGAGTAAGGCAAGTTCTGTTTGTAAATACGTTTTTGCAAAAGGTGGGACAGGTCAAGTGCGGATGGCACGCCACACATATATATGTGCGAACCTGTCCACACTCATGACGCCCTATTTTTCATCCCTTCCGTATTCTTTAAATTGTAAAAATTAACAGGTGCAAAAGTTAAGCGATTTCTTTTTTGCAACGCAGCAAATATCGCCCTTTATTGCTGTCCTCACGAGGAACGAATTTTGTTTGCACTTCACTGTATATAACATCGCACACCGTTGTTTTTGCGTTTCTCTTCCCAATGGGAAATGACTCAAGGTTTAGCACAGGATGCGCATTGGACGAGCCAACAATGAAATCGAATGCATGTTGGCGCTGTCCATAAATTGTATGTTAACAGGGGCACACACACAAAAAAATATATATATAATAATAAAATAAAAGAATGGCAGAATGACATTTCTCACCCGTAGGGGATATGCACAAATGCGTCCATCAATGTGCACACACGTAAGTAGGGAAAAGAGATTATCCAGAAATGGGGTGCCCCTCCCAAAGATGATACCACTTCGCCATAATCATTTCCACGAGATGTGGCTAGCTACCCTGGGACGCCTTCCTCAACTCATCCATCACATATTCATAAAGAATCCTCCTGTCTTCATCCTTAATTGCGTGAATTTTACAAAATATATCAATGATGTACAAGGGGTCCTCATCTTCCCTTATCGCCAGAGATGCAATTTTATTTTCGGACAATTTTATTTTCGTTTCAAAATAAACGGGTTTTATTTTCACCTTGTAGAATCCCTTATCAAAACTGAACGGCGAGAGAGTGGTAGTCCTTCCCCCCTGCCATTTACTGCGACAAGCATTTTGTGCATTCTTATCTCCATTTGTGCTCACTGGGATCCTGTACTCCAAGAAATTATGAACTCTCCTCTTTTCCTCGACGCCCCGTTTGATCCTTTCTACAGTTTTGCTGTACCCCTTTGGAAGGTCCGACATGTATATTTTCACATTTTCTTTTATTTCTGGACTAAACTTACATTCGCTTTTAAATTTATTTTCCTTGGCTTCCTCAAAAGCGTCCTTCTTCCTTTGGAGGTGCTCTTTCTGCTTCATGGCTTTCCAGTAAAGAAGCTCATTCCTATCTAAGTGTTTTATTTTACTTTCGCTGTATGGCAGCTCCTCCCCGCTGCTCCTACCGTGACTATTTTGATGATCACTGTGTATTTCGTCTTCACCAGGAATTTTCCCATCAGTGTACCTCCCCCTGGTATAATATTCTCTCCTCGCATCCTCCCTTGCGACCACCATCCCATGAGGATCCTCCACACTGATGTTTCTGCTCATTCGACCGATGACATTTTCATACATTAATGCATCCTCATATGTATACATGGGTGATGTGCCGCTGCCAACCCGTGTGATTGCCTTCACCCGAGCTGCTCGTCTATGCGCCCCACGTGCAACAATATGGGGATCCTCGTCAAATTCGCCTTTACCAATGTGAGGGCCTAATTTCATGTACCCCTTCGTGTGTATGTTAACCCCACCTCCCTTTCTTCCTTCCTCTTTGATAAAACTCTTCACTCTATTTGGCTGGATGCTGCTGACCCTGGGGTGGAAGGTACAATTTACCAATTCCTGTTTTATGGATGCATTTTTTTTTTCCTGAATTTTTTTTTTTTTCTCATTTTCTCTGGCGTGTATTTTGTGTAACCATTTGTTCAGCCTGGAATCTTGTTCTCTTGTTTTCTTTTTCAAAAGTAAAAAATCCTTCTGGTTGAAGCTCATCACACTCTCTCCATCCGGACTGCTATCTGGCCCATGCAAGTACCTCTCAGGGGGACCATAAAAGGATTCGTTCTGTACCCCCCTCGTGACGCCTTCCATATCGCGCGAAATTTCCTCATAAAATTCATCATTCCGCTGGATGTGTCTAATCAGCGTGCGATCATATGTGGGCGGACCCTTTTGAAGGAAGCCTCCTCTGTGTTTGTGTAGTGTGTCTCTTCCGTCGCCCCCTAAATGGGTGCCATGAATACTACCTTGATTCCTCCTCCAGGTGTTACCCCTTCCCTTTTGATTCATGGCCACATTATTCTGTCCCTTCCATGTATCTTCTTCCAAAAAATTATATTTGTCTTCCCCCCTGGGATGAGTCCTTCTATCCCCTTCGTCCAAATCAAAATCTTCAAACCTTTCATCTGAGGAGTTATACCTGTGCATATTATCTCCCCCCAAGTTGGATGCAAAATCAGGGAACGCATTCCCTTCTCTATTAATGTTCGAACTGCTACCATGTTGCGAAACGGATGAACAAGCATTTCTGCTATCATATATTTGTCTTCCACTGGAGTAATCCATGCTGGATGTATAATTCGATATGTCCTGTTCATATTTTTTCACTTTCTTTTCTCTCACGTTGTAATTTTCTCCACTCCTCACGTTGGAAGCTCTTCCCCCTTTGTGATGTAACGGGGTCGCTTCTTTCCTCTCGAATAATTCCCATTCGTTGGTGTCCTGCGCGCTGCCAGTAGGGGTATCATCCTGGGTGGGCCTCAAATCGAGCACGCTACACATATAATCCCTATTTGCGTTGTTTGAATCTTCCAAGGGGTTAACCCCTCCCTCAGTTGCAATATCGCTGTTCCACTCATTTGGTCCATCCATCTTAAGGTCCTCATCGAAATGGGCAGTGGTGTTGTCATACTGGCTGGGTGCACCCCCAACAACTAAGCTTCCATCAGGACTCACTTTTATGTTGCCACCCATTTGTTCACAAAGGGCAGGACGTAATTTTCCGTTTTTCTTTTTTCCCTTTTCGTTCGATACATTTGTTTTAAGGCCTACATTTCTCTCTCCCTTTTCTGCTTCATCTTTCCCCGTATCTGTCTCCCCACTGAGGGGTCCCAAAACATTGTCTTTTACTTTGGCGATCCTACCATCTGCCAGGAACCCTCCACTTGAGCCTTTTTTCCTCATACGGTTTCCATTCGAGGAGGCACTTGTGCCCGTTCCACTTGGAAGAGGACTGCCCCCTCCTGATACACCTATTACACCATTTCCTTCATCTGATCGAGCCAAGTGCCATGGTGCATTTGGTACATTAAGGTTAATATCATCTCTACCTTGCCTGTGTAACTCTGATAGTTGCTGACCCTCTGCATCACTTCGACACAATTGATCCGAACGTTTTTCTCCCTCAGGAGGGGAGTTATTACCCGTCTTTTTCAGCATCCCTTTTTTAGAATAATCTTCCTGCGGAATTATCGGCGCGGGTGATGTGGCTTCCGAGGGGAGGGTGAGGCCCTTTTTACCGGTTGTTGAAGTCCCCCCGTCTTCATGCCCTTTGGCGCCCCGCCCCTTAATATGCCCCTTAGTATTCCCTTTAGCGTGACCTGACTTTCTCAAAAACTCCCGCTTCTGATCCTTCGTCCCCAACACGGTGTGCACCAAATTGTTGCTCTCCTCGTGGAGGTAAGTGCCGGAGGAAAGCGCCTCTTCGTAGCCTACCCCCAGCATGGGATTCCTTTCACGGGGGTTCTCACAACTGTTGTATGCGTCCCCCAAATAGTTGTCCACATTATTTGTGCCAAGCGCCTTCCTTCTGTTGCTCCGTCCCGAGTGTTTTTTCCATTCACAGGATAGCACATTTGGGACTTGTAAAAAAAATAGACTGTCACTCTTTTGATTGCCGTTATCCTTGTTATAATTTTTTTTTTTTTTTTTCTTCTTCTTCTTCTTCCGACTTACATACATTTCGTACTCCGTCAGGGAAGCCCCGTGTGCAAATTCCCTGTGGTCATCTCCAGAAAAGGGATTTTTGTACAGGTAGTACTTGGTTCCATCGGACTGGCTCCTGCGCATGACTTCACTGTGGCGGGCATCATCACCGCTACTGCTATCACCATCATCGATGCTATAACCGTGTGGTATTCCTCCAAATCGACTGGCCGTCTGTTTGTGTCTCCCCTTGTTATGCGTGTTTCCCCCTGCAACCAAATTGGTGCAGCCCTTTTGGAAGGTACATCCATGTGGGATATCCCCCCTAGCGGTGCACCCTACTCTCCGTACATAATCGCAACGGTAGGGTGGCGCGCCTTCCGTTTCTCTTACCTTATTTTCATCAGAAGGGGAAGGAGAAACATTCTGTACCTTTACGCGTTGGCTAAATGGAGCCAACTTCTTTGTCACACATTCTGGTCCTCCAAAACTATCATGCATTTCCTCATCCACTCCCGTCATGTTCTCCATTTCAACGAGGCGCTCAACGTCCAACTCCTTCTCACTAAGACAGCTATTTAACAAGCTACGAATGGCTCTTTCTGTTTTCTCTCGCTGCTCCTTTCTCTGCTTAATGTGGGAATACAATACTTCCCCCTTTTTTCCCGTTTCACCTTTCCTTTGTATATAAGACAAACAGGTGCCAACCTTTCTGCATGCCTTGTCAGAGTTCGCTTGGAGAGCCGATTGTGTATTGGCTTCGAGATTGTCCAGGGTAGTACCTCTTGTAGTGCCCCACGTGTTGCCCTTTCCATCGCCCCGATTGGCGACATCCATCCACAATTTATCCTTCTTGAGGAATTCTTTAAAATAAAAATGAAACTTATTCATTTTTTTTATCAAATTCGTGACTTCATTTTTAATTGGACATTTGGCGGAGCCACTTTTATCGTGCCCTTTTCTGCTGATCTTTTCGAGGTGGCTATTTTCCTTCCTTTCATTCATCAGCAGAAATATAAAATCATTTAGCTCATCCTCCGGAATTTTATTCTTTCTCGTGTCCACCAATAATTTATATGTCTTTTCTACGAAGCGATCATTTACGTTGTTTATTAATTCGAGATCGAAATTCTCCTTCGCGTATATTTTTATTTTGGACACGTCTATTAGCACGTCTGCAGCGAGCAGCGTATTTTTTAGTTTCTTCAGTGGAGCGATTTCCTCCCTCCGTTGGTGTCCACTAGGGGAGAGGGAACTGCGTCCCCCAGATTCTTCCTGTCCTCGGTGCTTCATTGGGCAAAAGAAGCGTAGAGGCTAAGTGGAAATGAAATGAAAGGAAGGGGGAAACAAGGCGGACTAGATGAATGTTCCGGGCGTGCCGCGGAGTCGGAACACATTATCCACAAGAAGAGAATCTACATTTGCACACAAGCAGATCGGATTAGATAAAGTATGTACTAAGAACACTAAACAAGGGTGGGGCATGTCCTCCCTAAAAAGTCTTTCCTTTTTTTTTTTTTTTTTTTTTTTTTTTTTTTTCCCTACTATAGGTTTACATAGCATGCACCTGATTAGGTTTCCGCGCCCTTAGAAAATTCTGGAACCCCTTTACCGCTCTCGCCACAAGGCAAAAAATGTCTCGCAAAAAGGAATGCTCACAAAATGCACACTTTAAGCAGTACACTTCCACCCTTTTTTGTCGCAAAAAAAAAAAAACAAAAAAAAAAATTAAACAAGGAAGAAATAATCAGTGAGCTGTCCTTCAAATTTCCGTTGCAGTCGGAGTGGACGGAACTCACTTAAAATGTAGAAGCGGTGGAGATAACTTCCTTTTGGACATTAAAAAAAATAAAGCAATCTTTTTTTTTTTTCCAATGATGCAGTACAACATGGGGGAGGATTTCAAGACAGGCCGCTTTTCACCACAAATAGCAGCACGCGTTAGTCTATACATCCTATTTTTTCCCCCTTACCAATTGAGTAACCTTATAAATGAACATGCGGAGGGTTTCCCCTCCATCATTCCCAAAACAAAAAGGAAAAATGAAAGAACAGTTGTTAAGAAGCTTACACAGTGTGTCTACCCCTCTTCCTTTCCTGTCCCGTTTTTACAGGAATTTCTAAAACGTTTTTCCCCCCATCATCTGAGCGGTTCTCCATTCTACTAGCAAAATCGGCAAATGCGTCACATATCACATCGGGTGGGGGTCACTTTTGGATGGTCACAAGAGAGTCCACACACATGCATCGTGTTGATTGAATATGCAACCCGCCACCCATAGATACATATACGTATAACGATGCGTCGGTGTTCCTTCCTTTTCTATAGCTACCCCCTTTATACTGCGTTTTTTTTTTTTAATTTTCATTTAATTTGCCACTGGAACATCACCCTTTGTGATGGGCATTTCCGCAGTATCGCATTTCTCGGTCATGGCTCCACCTTTTAATGGTCACTGCTTCCCACGCCTTTGGTTGTTTTCCTTTCTTTTCTTTTCGTAATAGACCCTAAGGGATACATATAAAATACCGCAAATAATCCTGAACTTTTACTCCAATAAAGTGGCGCAGAAACTGTGCTATGTATAAGCAAAAAATGCAAAGGTACTATATTGCGCACTTTTTTTCCCCCTTTAATTAATCTTTTTTCCCTTTTTGTGCGAAAGAAATTTAAAGCTATAAAAATGCCCCTGCAGTGTAGGAGGAGGGGGGTGGTGTCGACTCTTCGTGTATATATTACTCACTTATACGCACGTGGCTTATGAACATGTACGCGACATGGTGCGTCGCACGACGTGCTCATATGTATTGTGGTTGAACGTGCAAGAGCGAGGCGGTGGTGCCGTATTCGGAGAATGTAGCTCCCTGCCTGAAAAATAGCACGCCTGAATATTTGCCTATATAAATGTATGCCGTAGATTCATGAATCTTCCCCTATTGTGGAGGGGCAGCGTGCAGTTCTTCTTTCCTGCATACGTGTACATATTTCTTATAAGCACTATAAGTTGGCACGTCGTTCCCCCTTCCTCCGTGATACCCGTTGCGCGATCGCAGAAGCGGCGGCAAGGTGGCTATATATATTCGCCATGACCTCACGACATACACCTCTACCCTTTTCAGGCTGTTTTTATTTTTTTTTCCTTGGTTAAAATTTTTTTTATCAAAGTAATAAAGCAGGAACGGGGTATATGAAAAGAATCCGAGGAGTAGTAAATGCTGCGCAAGAAAAAAAAAAAAAAAACGCCTCACTTTTTTGAACAGCTCATATGGTGGTTTATATATTAAAAAAAAAAAATTAAATTCAAACAAATTTTGAACTTAAAAAAAAAATTAAACAAAACAAAACGAATTAGAGGATCGAACAACATTTCTTTAAGAAAAAAACGTTTAAGGGGAATTTACATTCATCCATTTAACGTAGGACCAAGTCAGGAAGAAAAAAAATCTCTTATTTTTTTTTTTTAAAAAACTACTCGCAAGAGGCCAATTTAAAGAAGTCACCATGGCACATGGGGCTAGCCGTTATAAGAAGTCAAGGGCAAAGATGCGCTGGAAGGTGAGATAAAGAGAGAAAAAAAAAAAAAAAGGAGTTAATGGAAAATACCAAGCGCGTTACTTCACTGAGGTTTACGTCGCAAAGATTGTTTCGCATTCAACATGTTTTTTGTACCGTGCGTGGATAACCCCAGAGAACCAGCATTATTTGTGGGCCCATATCCCCGTATGCCTTCAAATAAAACAACTCTCTGCACAGTGTGTTTGTTCTTCCTAAAGAAGTTTTGTCGTTGCTGCATGTTTGTTAGAGAATGGCCGTGTAGCAGCACGAATGGAGTTTTAACTGTGCCTAATATAGCGCACCACCGTTACCATTTTTTTTTTTTTTTTTTTGTTACCCCCCCACAGTGGAAGAAAAAGAGAACGAGACGATTGCAAAAGAAGAGAAGAAAGATGAGACAGAGATCGAGGTGATTTCCACAATCTCACAGCAGCTGTTGTTTTGAAGCGGAAACGCGGAAGAAAGAAAATGAGAGAGCGATAGAATTATACCTTTATACACACAAACGTACACAAAATATACATTCACGCTTTGACCAGATAAGGGGGAATCCATCCTTGGACAAAAAAAAAAACAAAATTCTTCACATGTGAATGCGAAGGTGTTTTTATGAAATACATATAGATATACTTCCATTATACTGAAAAGAATTTTTTTTTTTTTTTTTTTTTTTTTCCCCATAAGTTATTCACCCTACGCACATTTGTGTATGTGCATATCGAAATAACTTTTAAGAATAAAAATAAACGTTAATAAAAAAAAAGTATGCCTCAGGTATAGGTTCAAAAATAATGAAAGAAAAATAAAAGGGGGAGGTCTATTTGGTGTTGTCTTCATATACGCCCGGATGAGGACACGGAATACCGTTTTAATGTTCTCATGTTCTCTATTGGTAGGTGGTTTCTCCAATTAAGTGGTTAACTTTTTTTTTCTCCTCATCTGGCTGCTCATACGCCGCATGGTGTCTTTTTTTTTTTTCGTTTTGATGCACAAAATGTGATATTCTTTTTGCGCGCTTAAGAGGTGATATTTAATGGGGGAGAGGGGAACACTTTTTAAGTCATCGCCAATCTGGGAATAAAAAAAAAAAAAAAAAAATGAAAAATAATCCACTATGGTAACTTCTTACATGGTAGAGCATATATAACCCCGTTGAGTCGCCAATGCGCGGAGGGGGTCATTGCATTGTTAGACTATCCTCCGCCAATGTGGTGAAGCGCCCAATCGGGTGAACTGCTCAACTGGGTTAACTCCCGAACCAGGTTACCCGCACCCCACCCCTTGTGCAATTCTCCACAAAATGAGCGACCCGGGGAAGGAAAACGCCCCGGAGACCCTGTCCGATGAAGAGTCTAGCGACTCATACTACAAATCAAAATTCAAATTCAAAAAAAATTCAATAGAAATAAAAAAAAAGAGCCTGTTAAAAAATAAAATAAAGAAAAATGACATCGAGGAGATAATAAAAAACGACCCCATCCTCAGCAATATCAACAGGACGCTCGAAGCTGAGGGGGAGGTCTTTTGCCTCGCCACGAATAATGAGAATACAAAAAGTGAGCAAAGCTGTACCTCTGACGGTGTCTCTCAAAAGGGGCAGAAGGAAAAGAAGCCAAAAAACGGCAGCGTGGTCTACTTCAAAGAACCAACGCTCACACATAAAGAAATCAACCTCGAGGACAGCAAAGATGCGAAAAAGGACAAATGCGAACATCCGAACGGAGCAAACAGAACAGATGAAAATGCTGCACTAAAATATAAATGTGTCCTTACCATTGGCGGTACAAAAAAAAACTCCCTATCTTCGGTCAAAAATAAACACACAAAAAAAATTACCAGTGGGGTTCCCACCCATGCGTACAGTGTGGACGGGGCAAAGTCTCCACCGGGGAATGCTCCAAGGGGTCACATAGGGAAACCCGTCACAAGGAAGGACGAAACGAAAAAGATGGAATTGTCCCCTCTGGCCATTATTAAGAAGCACGGTCGACTGGTAATCGCCTGAGGGCAGGCCCAAAGCGCTCTGCGCAGTTCGTGCCGTCAACTACACCGCCGTTCAAATTGCGAATCGCAAAGTCAATCCGCAAACCAATGTGCACTTCCCCTCCCCCCCTGGGCAGGTAAACCAAATTAACGAAATACACACCAGCAACGGGGAAGAAATAGAACACCTGCGCAACGAATATGCCTCGCTCAAAAATGACCTGTACAAAATTATGAGCATAATGAATGTGGGCCAGCGGGCCGTTTCTTCTTTGAAGTGAACGAGCCGGCGTGGATCTCTCATCCAACAAGGTATGAACACACTGAGCAAGGTGAAGTTGAAAGTCACCTTCATGTAGATTTACATACAGTGTAGTGGAAAAATGGCTTGAAGTGGATTACACATGGTTATACTCTGAAGAGGGGTGCTTACACGGATGGATATCTTCTTCATCCCACTGTGCAGTAACAAGCACATGGCATTACTCATCGGGTTTTGAATCACCAGAGTAAAATTACTTTCATAGTTCTATACACTTGTTCACACCCCATGAGGAAGCCCAAAAAAAAAAAAAAAAAAAAAAAACAGCGAACAAATATGACAAGGTAATAAAAGCCATGCAGAGCTATTCACAAGTATGCATTCAAAGCTCTACCAAACAGAGCGCGTAAAAGTACCCATTGGAACCACCTCCCCCATTCAGCACATACACTGACCTCTGACCAAAAGTCCACTCCAGCCCCTGCCCCTTGTTCCGTGAGTACGAACGATGAATGGCTACCCCTTTTTCAAATGCACAGATATTAACAGGAGGGTAACTCTGTCGAGCCTTTTTTTTTTCGTACCCAAAAGGGGTGTTCTCCAGTCAAAATTTAAAAAAAAAAATGAAACGTCGTTTAACTTCCCCTTTAAGGTATGTTCCGTTCAGGGGGAGAAACATCCTTCTTCATTTATTTTCTCCCTTGTCCATTTTCGTATGTGTACCCCTCTCCCCCCTCTCGGGTATTTCTATTCTCACCGATTCGTAACCCCCAATTGGCAATACGACACAGTGGACCCCCGTTTTTTTTTTGCCCTCATCGCAGGTCAGCAGGACGACCTCTGGGAATTTACCCGTCTACCCAAAGATAAGGAGACATGGAACGATTGTTACGACTGTTGTGCGGCATATATATGGTGACATAAAGGTTAGTTGTGATTGCCTTTTTCCTGAGGGGATAGTTACATTACACTCCTGAGCATGCATATTTATGTGTGCATGCCCATATGAGGAAAAAACCGCTTTTGATACATTTCTACCCCCTCTGAACCGCTGCTAACGCTTCTCCACTCCACCCCCAGGCGTTCAAGGAACACCTGCGCACCATATGCGAAGCGCCAGTGAGAGAACACATTGGCTATATCGAAGTGAAGGGACTCCACACGATGAAGATAAAGCAGTGGTTGCAGCACATCGGGTTCTGATACTTGTTCCTATTCAGTGAACCCGTACACTTTTTTGGTGCTTTACCATTTTTGGGATAGTTCTCCCTGTCAGGTTGACATTGCTAAGGGGAAGTTGACACGCCAAAGCGGTACTACATATTAGCACCTTTCCATTTCCGTGTTCATCTTTTTTTTTTTTTTTTTTTTTTGTCCATCCGAGGAAATTTCCCTTTGTTAGTAAAACAATAACAACGCTCAGGTCAGCTTCCTATAACTGCACATTTGCGATCGAGTTTCTATTGCACATTTTTTTTTCCCACGCGCTTAATATTTCTGTTCTAGGTGTTCGTTTCTTTGTCTTTAGATTCGCGTCGCCATGTCAGACGCACGCGCAGAATGGACGTTGCATTGGGCGGGAAAACACAGCATATGCTTCACAAATCCCAAAGCGGAAAAAATTTGCGAAAAAATATGCAAAAAAAATTTGCGAAAAAATATGCAAAAAAAATATGCAAAAAAATATGCAAAAAAGAAAAAGTTAAAATAACGCAATAGGGGCACCAGCGTAATGGAAAAAATGGCCTGGCAGATGGACATGCGCTTCAAACGCACGATAGGCGGGTACGTCCGTGAAATGTCCACACGTCTTCACATCCAGGCTTCTCTACATTTTTTTTAGTTCTTTTCCCTTTCACCTCCACGCGGCTCTCTAATTCGAGAAGGACAACATCTTCTTCTCATGGAGGAGACGGTTCAGGCAGGCGTCTGATTCTCCCTTCTGTCTGACGTGGCCAGCAATGGCAAAGGTTTCTGTTTCGCCTGTGTACACTCCATTCTTGTTAACCTGTAGGTTGGGGTGCAAGAAATATGCAATGCGTGTTTACCAAATTGCGTATACCGTATGCAGGCATATACAGAAAGGTCTGAAGAATAATTTATATGTCAGCCCACGCCACTCAAAGAGCTTTTCACAATTCGTAATGATGCTATAGAGATCCGTGCAACTCCGTTTTCTTTTTTTTTTCACTTCTTTTTCGACTTCTTTTCATTCCTTCGTTCCTTTTTTTCTCCCCCTTTTGTTATGTTAAGCAAAAGTTATTAACTGCTCAATAGCAGCCGTTGGGCTACGAGCCCAAGTCGCCTTTCATGGGGCCCCAACACAACACTCAGGTATTCCTATACGCGGGGCTGTACGCTCTACGGTTAAAATATTCCTTTTCTAGTTCTCTCTTTTTTCAATTTTCAGTTTTAATTGCTGCATTTTTTTTTTTTGTGGCTGCTTACCATGCCAACGTTAATTTGAACAGCTCCATGTTCTTTGGCGTGGATGAGTCTCGAGGTGGCCGAACATTTCCTTGGGATGTAAATGTCGACTAAAACTTTCTGATCGTTAAACATTTTGATGAACGAAAAAGTTGAAGAAATGGGGGAGGGATGTAAAATGACAAAAATCAGGTGGAAGGAAAAAAAGAATACAAGTGTGAATGCTTCAAATGGGAAATCCCTATATTTTTAAAAATTCGTAATTGCTACAATAAGGAGATGATAAGAAAGGTTCGGTTAACGCAAAATTATTCTTTTGTTTGTTTCGCGACTGAATATATATATTTTTTTTTTTTTTTTTTGCAATCTGTTTGTTCGCTCCACTTATATATAATATACATATTTTTTTTTTCTGTGGAATTATTACGCGATATACATTTGCTAAATTTGCGAGCCGTATTTTTTTTTTTTCCTTTTCCTTTTTGCTGCTTTCAATGGAGGTGGAGAAAAAATGAACACAAAAAAAAAGCCAACGGGGTGAAGGATGGGCTTTAAACAGGGGCGACGAAAAAAAACACCACGGACTCATTCAACCCCTCTACGGCACAGTACAACCCACCCGTGAGGGAAAAAAAAGGAACAACTTGGGGCATACAAATACAGGGGGACAAGTAACGCCTTATTCAACATAATGCATATTATTTTATTTTTTTTTTTTTTTTGAGGAGGAAAAGTACGCCCTAAATGACACTCCATAAATTCAATGTGGTCACAAAAAAGAATCAAAAAGGTTCGCTCCCCCCAATGTGGGCCACAGGTTAATGTAAAATGCTTATTTCCCCTTGGGACAGATTATTGCGGGGCAAAAAAAAAAAAAAAAAAAAAATTATACAAACATGCAAAAGTGCAAACAACCGTTTGTACATAACACCATGGTACAAAACCCCCTTTATGAAAAACAGAAAATGTGACTCGACACATTTGCGCATGTCCTCAACGCAGGTCATGTGGAGGCTCCACTTATAATACCACAAAAATGAGGGGTCTCCCCCCCCCACACACACATCTGTAACCACAATTGGATCATACGTTAAATACCAACGTACGTTTGTCTCCTCCCCTCTGTTCACCTCTAGCATCCACAGTTTTCAAATTTTTATGACTTCTTTTTCTTTCCCTTTTGAATGACATGAAAGAATGCGACTCGGCAATTATCCCAACTGCTTGTAGTTAAAGTATGCACCCTCATGTTGCGTGAAAGCAAAAGGAATTTTCCCTCCTTCCATCCTAGCCTCTTCCCTCCTCACGTGACATTACGCGTGCTCTCCAAATAGGACGCTAAACCATGGAGGAGTATTCCGTCAGTGCAGATCCGCACCTGACCAGGGTCCACTTGAATAGGAAGCTGCCAAGTAACAGCATAAAAAGGAGAGCCCAAAAGTGGGACGCAATTGAGAAAAATTAAAAGAGCGAGAAAAGTTTGAAACAAATGATCAAAAATGATCAAAACATATAAACAGTTGGGAGAAAAATTTACCCAAATAAATAAAAAAGAGCGAAATGAAGCGGTAGCAGAACAAATTGCCCTTCCCCCCCACACACACATCTCATTTGGTCGATATCCCTCATTCTTATCTCCATGCCATTTGTTCCTAACCCCACTCCTTTACATGCACTTCCCATGTTTGCATGTTCTCTTTCTTTCCCTCCCCCCACCTCCCCTCGAAGACGAAACGCTCTACCGCCTCCAACAGTACGTCATCCCCGAGCTGTCCCCCAAGGACTACAAAGGATGCGGAGGAAAAATATGCGTCGTTGGGGGCAGCGAAGTATACAGCGGCGCCTCCTTTCTATCAGCCATGAGCGCATTAAAACTCGGAGCTGATTTATCCTTCGTCATAACAGCACAGGAAAATGGGATCCCCCTCAAGTGCTATAGCCCAGAGCTTATTGTCTACCCATACTTATATAACCAAAAGTCAAATATAAGCCAAGTCCCAGGGGAAGAATTAAAAAAATGCACAGAATATTTGTCCAATCGAATTGATTGTTGTGTTTTTGGGCCAGGTCTTGGGTCCATCGATGAGGTGACCAAAGACTGCCTCAGCTATATAATAAAAAAAATGATAGAAAAAAATATCTTCTTAATTCTGGACGCAGACATTATTGAATTTATTTTAACCAATACAGATATACTCTGTTTAATACAAAATTATCAGCATTGTTTATTTACGCCAAATAAAAATGAGTTCAGGAAAATGATTTTTCTTCTCACGCAGGAGGATGGCCAAAATTTGAAGTTTCATGACTTAACCACAGATAAAATTATTTATCAGGGTCATAAATTGATACGACTGCTTGATGGTCCCAAAATAATGATAAAGGGTTTTTACGACGTATTTATTTCGAGAAATTTTTTTTTCGTTTCCTCTGTTCAGGACCCCTGTTTGAAGAGGCTGGCGGGGCTGGGCGACGTGCTGGTGAGCAACGTGTGGCTGACTTGCAGTTGCCACATACACACGAGAGCATATATATGTACATACCAACATGTTTACACTCCCTATCCCCTGCAGACCGGACTGTTGGCAGTTTTCCACACCTGGGCAGGGAAGAAGAAGGATAAGTTTTCTCCAACGCTGAAGGAGGAGTTCCACGTGGACTCCATCGATGGACAGAACGAATGTCTGGACGCGCTCTCCGCCTTTTGTGGCAGCTTCTTCTTAAAATATTTGTGCAGAGAGAAATTTAAAAAGTACCACCGGGGGCTCCTCGCTTCCGACGTTATAAAAGGAATTCCCCATTATTTCCACTTCCTCTACGATGGGGGGTGTGAGTCATCCTCCCGCGACCATCAGTCTCTCTTTCCTGGCTAACGCGTGCGAGGGATCCTACGTAATGCTGTCATATGCCCACGCGTCTAAATGAACATGTATACGTACCGCGTATATAAATTGCTTCACTGAGATATAACCCCCCCTCCAGTGCATATAAATCAAAAATGGTGTAATGGCGCACCGGGTCTGTGGTGTGGCCTTCTGCCGTGTGTGGACGGAGGGGGCAGTTGGAATACCATCATTGTGCTCATCGCTTTTGTTTCTTTTTTTAAAAAACATACGTATGCGAAGGAGTGTCGTTTTCGCAAAATGGATACACATATGCTGGGGGATTTAAAAGGATCACCGTGAGACGACCACGAAGTTGACATGTTCCAAATAAAAAAGGAAATTAAAAACAGGTAATTAAAAACAGGTAATTAAAAACAGGTAATTAAAACAGGAAATTAAAAAAGGTAATTAAAACAGAAAATTAAAAAAGGGGCAGAAAGGGCGCACTGCGCAAAGACGCAAATCCGCATCGTGGTATTGTAGAAAAGAAGCAAAATCAAAGCGTAGCAAAAGGGTACGCACAGCAGAAAACACACACCTGCAAAAAGGCTCCGCGAACCACGCCCCACAAACGAAAAAAAATAAAAAATAAAAAAGCCATGGCGGAGGGGCGCTGATAAGCCGCGCAGCCACGACGGAACGGCAAACGGGAAGAAATAAGAAAAGGGTACACACCACGGAGTGGACGAAATATATGCGCGTAGAACGGGAAGCAACAACTGGTTGCGAAGAGGAATAGGAACAGCAGGCGCGGCTAGGCAGAATGGGAGCGTCACGGGGGTGGCAAAGGGAGACCCCATTATAAACGTTTTGGCACCTCTGAACAAAATTGCGCGCGCTATGCGGCTATCATATATTACGACGCTCCCGCCATGACGTTATCATGCATGACGTTACCATACATGACGATTAACACGCCTAACTGACTATGTGGAAATCCATCAGGTCCTCGAGCGAATGGGAGTTCTGACTGAGCGTCTCCTCCTTCTCGTTTTCGTTGTACCACTTGGGAAAGGTGTAGTGCTCATACTGCATGGAATTATATTCAGTTGACCTCGTCATCGATATGGTGTTATCATCTTTTGAAATTACTTCCATAGATCCCCCAATGGGAATGGTTTGAAAACGTATAGATAAATTAAGGAGCAATTTCTTCCAGCTTTTTGGAAGCTTTTTCGAATTACGTAAAAGCAGAGCTCTCTTATATCTGTTGTAGGTAGATGCGTAGAGCCTCTTCTGCTGGTACATATGCTTGACATAATTTTTATCTATATCACTATAAAAGAGATTCATGTTTTTTGAGAAAAGTGAATGGAAGCTATCTGTGTACTCATGTGCATTTTCATCTGTGGGGGGATAAAAGTACTCCTTCAATTCCTCCAAGTCATCTGTTTCGTTTTCTTCCTCATCGTCAGTCTTAATGGCAAACTTTTTGATGATTTCCATTTTTCTTTTCTCGAAAGGTAAGATTGAATTACGTAAAGTGTGTATTCCAATTCCCAACAAAGCTGCTTCTAACTCATCCCTCGGTTGCATAAACTCTTCAGCTGATAATCGAAAAGTCCCCCAATGAACTCCAATGGCCATTTCTGCCTTTAGGTCTCTCCATATCTTTACTGATTCCCAAGGATGCACATGATGATATTTCAATGAGTTATTCGGTTCATACGCTCCAATAGCAATTGCGGCTAAGTGGAACGGACCATGTAGCCGTCCTATTTTTTTAAACTCTTCAAAATTGTCTTTCAAGTAGGCTGTATCCCCAGAGAAATAAAATCGATGCTTTGGACCCTTCAATATTAAAGACCCCCACAAAGAGTGATTAAGATCACTCAGATTATCTTTCCTACCTGACCAATGCAAAGTAGGAGCATAAATTATCTTATACTTAAACACTTGCTTTTCTGCATTTTTACTATTCCAAATACCATCCCTACATTGAAATTGTTTGTGAGAAATCCAGCAAGACACCCATCTTTCATCACCCCACGATAGCTCATAAATTTTTGATGCTTTACAACCTTCACTCATAAAAAAACTTGCTGTACCTTCTGGCACATACCATAACACATGCTGAAATTTTTTCAGCTTACATAATATTCGAACGTCTTCCTCCATAATGTGATCATTATGGTTATGCGAAACGAACACGGCATGTAGGTCATCAGGCAGATTCGATATATGACATGGAGACCTCGTTATCCTTTCTCCTAACCCTCCCATAACCTTTACATTTACCCAATTGATTAGAGATCTGGTTAATCCCTTCAAACTTAATAACTCAATTTTAAAAACGGGATCTACTAATATTTTGAACCCATCAACCACAACCAACCCGGTAGCATGACCCAACCACGTGTAGTGAATGCCATAAAAATTAGGCTCCTGCACATTGTTCTTTTTAAAAAAATGCGTGTATATATCTGGCCTCTGTACAAATCGAGGAGATAAAACAGGCATTTCCTTTCTCAAAGTCACCTTATCTACCTTCTGGGCCTTTCGATGATTTTTAAACCAGGTAAATAAAAACCCGTAAAATTTTGCATTTTCAATAATTTTCTCCACATCCTCTTGCGTAATGACATCCCATGGGTAAATATACTCCTTGTCGATCTTAATCGCTTTGGTTAAGCTGTGTGGAGAAATGGCTTGCTTTAAAAAGCTTCTGAAATACACGTAACACTCCGTAGACAGTGCTCTTTGGTGAAGGGAATAATTCAAACTTGTTTGTCTTAAATATTTCATATTTTCCGAGTACACGCTTAAAAAGTTGTTGTCTATAATTTCTGTCCCTGCAACATTCTTCAAACGTATTGTATTGTCGCTCTTTCTGTTGGGGACGTAAATAAATTCGTCATCCTCAAAGGGGAAATTCTCGGCATCTCCGTTTCTGCTGAAATATGGCTTCACGGAGGACGACCCCCATTCTTCTTTCCTCCCACTACTTGTAAAATCGTTTGCGCCATAGCTGCCGTCATAGTTTGCGCCTTCCTTCACCTCCTGAAGATTGTTAATTCCCTTCCTTATGATATACAGTACTAGGAAAAAAGCAAAAATCGATATGACATTTCCACCAAGCCACTCCTTCTTCGATGACTGCTCACTCAAGAATGGCAAAAAAATGGATTTTTTCTTTTTCTTTTTTTTTACGTATCTTTTCTGGACCCCCTCCATGGATTTCACATCCTTCATTCGGGAATCTTGGTCTCCATCGTCCAGGCTAGATGCCCCTTCGAATCGAGAGTCCCCGCCTTGAGCTTCATCCCTACATACTTCATCTCTACGCGCTTCTCCGAGTTGCACTTCACCTCTCTGTTCAGAACCCGGCGTACACACGCCTGCTTCTTCACCTCTCAGCTTGCTCGAGGTCATATTTCCCTTCTGCCATGTGAACATCTCCGTCTGGCCTTACGTAACATACTGGCTATGCCGTCAGTCGCAGCTCCTAGCAGAAACACACGCTGCTTCTCGACGAGCGCGGTTTATCGGCATGGGAATTGGGCTGTGCTCGCCCACGTAAATCTTCACTTATCCACGTACGCTCCTCGCTTATTACAAACAACAGAAAAAAAAAAAATAAAACTCTCTTTAACCTTTGACCTTTCGAGCGCAATTTCTGTTCTCTACATTTTAAAAGCTGAAATTCTGTTTTCTTCCCGTTGGTCGTTTTGCGTTGTTCACGGGGTTTTTGCCGCGTTGGCCCTATTTTTGCAATGCTTTTTCCGCTTATGGAGTTTTCAAGGGTATCTAAGGTAGGTGCCCATCAAGGATGCGTATGCAGATGGACGTGCGTAACAATGTACGAGAATTGGCCAGTGGACCAATTCACCCAATTGTACCTAAATACGTGCAAACGTACTCACCGCGTAGGAAACTCAGTGGTAGATATGCACGTCATAACGGCAATTCATTGCATAATCTGATCCATCGGGCAAAGTCAAACACTTTCTCGTGAGCGTGGAACACGAAAAAAAAGTTTCTACTATCCTTTATTTTGCGTAATCATTCTTTTCATTGCCAAAGCAAGTTAGTTATTTCTTCTTCGTATTAAGCGATCCGATTTTTTTTTTTTTTTTTTTTTTTTTTTTTTTAGCCTCGCATATACACTCGAAAATTTAAGAACAAGTAGCGGAAAAAAAAAAAAAAAAAAAATTAATATACAACATTAATTTACCAAAAGTCATTTACAAAATGGGCGCTAAAAAAGAGAAGTGGTCAGAAGCTAAAATTCCAAGAAAGCTTCCAAAAAATCGGTTTCAACAGCGGGTTAAAATAAAAATACGCCTGCGAAGAACTCTAAAAAGAGCATTTTTAAATGTACAGAGTTAAAAAGTACCATATGTTTTTATTACGCACAACTTTAAATGCACAAATTTAAAATATAGAAATTTAAAAAATTCAGATTAAGCCAAAACGCTGTGGGTTACACGTTGGCTTGGTGGAGTAGAAGGTTTCTGTGGACTGGTGGAAGCACAAACAAATTTCGCACAGGGCCACAATAAATATATCTACATATAATATTTGCACCCCCTGGAAGGGAGAAAAATCCGTGGGGGAAAAACGCATGTAGCAAAATTCAAGGAGCGCACAACAAATGGGGGAGGCACGGCACTTTTTCAGACGCTTTAAAACGGTTACACCCTCCCGTTCCACAACATACCTTTGTACATGCACGCACACGCTAATTATATATATACCTACACATCTGTGCCATTGTACAAACATAAGAACGTGTGAATGTTTCTTTTCAGTAAAACAACAAGGTGACATAGCGCTACTCCCAAAGCATGGCACCAATTTTTTACTTTGGCAAAATGGCGTTATTTTACATCTGTACTGTGTAAGGAGACACTGCTGAGAAAAGCACAGCAATGCCAGTTTTAAAAAGGGGAGGATTTTGTTCTTCTTTTTAAATTTATTTGTTGTGTAGCACTCTTATTGATGGAAGTTTATTTTAAAAAAAAAAAAATTTCAAATTCAATTAGTTTTTCATTTGTAAAATAAAAATACTTTTTGAGCAAGTTCCCCATAATTCACGTCTTCACCCCCCCCACCGGTTAGTTCTTCTATCATGTTAACGTGATGAAAATATGCCAAACGCTCTCTTAATATTTGCCAAAAACTCAAATAATGCTAAAGGGGCACTTTTACGCCCTCACCCATTTGTCTTCCACCATTAGAATTCACCCCCCGCCCTAACGTAGTTGTAATAATTCTCCAATTCGTCCACATTTTTCCTATAACTGTCCTCCGTCGAAACCTGGAGCCTTTTTTCCATTTGTTCTATTTTCTCCGCGCACGATTTTACCTTGCCGTTAAGGTAGTTTTTGTCCTTCTCGAGAATTGCCAACCGGTTTGCTAAAAAACAGGGGAAACAGAGTTCAAAGCAATAACTACACGGTGGTTCGCATCGGTGTAGGCGTGCCATGTTATTGACCTGTCTCCCAAATGTGTACATAAACGCATAAACACATTTGGAGGGCCCCTCTGTATGCCTATGTACACTGCGCTAAAGCTGTTTCTCCCGCGCCACTCCCACTTTTCGCCCACCTTCAACATCCTGACACATTTGTGAATATATTTCCAAAATGGATTTCTCTTCGAAAGTCATCACTCTTTTGAAATTGCATAGGAGCTCCTCATGCTCCGAAAAATAATTCAAATATTTGGTAAACCCATTAGTTAGTCTTTTAAATATGTGATGTATTATGTACAGCACATTCTGAACAAAAGGGGAATTAAAAAAAAATAAATAAATAAAATAACTGAGCTAGCCATTTTTTAGCTAGCTGCTTTTTTTTTTTCCCATTTTTTTTTTATGTTGTAACGGGGTTGCAATAACTGGTGGTATCTTTACACGGCGTGGTTTAGACCATTAAGAATAGATAAACCTGTTCCTCATGTGTGCATATGTTTACCAACAAGGTACACAGTGCACACGCTGGAACTTGGCGCAACTTATGCTCACCTCCCATTTTGCAGTCTCAGCCAAAGCATCCGTCTTCTTCGCTGCCATTTCGGCCTGGACAAGTACCCAAATTTCTAGCAAAATGTGAAATATCTGTTTATTTGTCTTCACGTGCGTTCTGATTAACTTCAAGCAGTAATCTCTTTCCACCCATTGTAGGAGAACATTTAATGCCTGAGATTGGTCGAAGTGGTTAGGGGAGGGGAATGTGTGTTACGTGTTAGGGGTTACTCGGAGGAGAAACAAAAATGCACTCCTCTGTATATATCTACATATGCACATATATAGTTTTTTACACTTCTGCACACACGTCGAAGCGCCCCACCCTCGCTTGCAAACAAACTGACCGCAGTCTTAAGGTGAGCGTCAATTCCCCTAACCACTTTGAGGAAATCCACCAAGGAAACTCCTTGAGCGAATTTTTTAAAATCATATAAATTGTTCAACAGAGACATATTTAAAAAGCGTAAAAAGAGCAAGCAGTACACGCCATTCTCGAGTAGGAACTTTTTATTTTTCAACTCGTTCACTATTACATAATTAACGAAATGGAGTGAAATATTCTTCTTCTCCGTCTCTTCCGCCTTCTCGTTCTCATTTTTTATGCTCATTTGCGCGAACGTGTAGAGTATACCAAAATAGTATAGTTTCAATGAATCACATTCTTCCTTCTTCTTTACATTTTCAACTTTTCCACCCTGGTCAATTTGGAGGTATAGCTCTTCCACAAGCTTGATAAACTCTTCCTTAAAGTATTCCCTACACACGTCTTCATTATGTAAACACAGGAAAAATAAAGCTTCCACGTGTTTGAGGTACAGATAGTTGTCGTGCCCTTCTGCATCCTTTTCGTTACTACTGATGTGACTTACGAGGGGTATCACCTTTTCTGCAATTTTTTTTTTCCCAATGATAGATGCCCCATTGCAGCTACTTATCGCATTAACGATATCGAAGCATAACAGGTGCAACATTTTTTTTTCATCTGTTGGTGGAAGGAAATGGGAAGAGGGAAATAATGGAAGTGATGGATATATTATGAGAGTGGCTCAGTGTAAACACAGCCGCACATCTAATGCACACGTCTTAGCCGCACCTGGAAGGGGAGAATTACAGTGGACTAAAAAGCTGAGAATCAGATCCAAAATGCTATCAATCATTTTTTCTGCTTCTCCCCGCATTTGGTAGTTGTGGTGAAACATCCACAATGGGTTGGAAGAGCAACAGGTATGTGAACAGCTCCCTTTATGTTTGAAGCTCCCGCTATCTGCGCACCCTGCAGAAATTACAGACTCGTACCAATTCAGCACAACTTGCAGTACATTTCGCAGGGCACAAAAAAAGGCGCCGAGAAAATGACCAAACGGATCATCATTATCCTGTAAACGGTTTAAAAGGTTAGCCGACCGGATAAGACAATTCACATCCTCAATTAATTTGTTCATATGTTGGAAAAATAGAATTTCATCTGTACCAGAAACGTCGTCAGTATGATGATCAAACAGGGGAAAATTAGCGCAACACATTCCCCCCTCTATAATGTACGAAAATAATCTGAACAAGTCAGCACAAGACAGATCGAAATCTCCATTTGTAATTTTTTTGTCAACTATTTCTACTAAGGTGTTAACAAATTGGAGGTCACTCTTGGAGGTATATATGGTCAGCTGTTTCAAATTTCGCTTAGCTATTTTTATAACTACCTGAATGAGGAAGCTGTTTTTACAAGAGACATTCCTCTGGTATAGTGCTTCCGACATGGTAAACTTATTCATTATTCCGCATTTTATAATATCTTTATCAAATTCTTTTCGCTCCGTTAGTAAAACAAAACTGTGGATGATATCCTCGTCGGCTTGCTCATTTTGGCCATATGCATTGCTTAGAATTTCAGCGATCCTTCCATAAGATATTATTTTACAGTACAAGCACGCCAGGCAGTTCCTCTCGATCAGCCTGAGATGGAGGGGTAGAGAGAAGTCAAACGAACAATAAAATATAAGCAGGGGAAAAATACTTCCACGCGTCGCTACGTAAAAGAAATCGATGCGCCTCCTTGTTACACATTTACAGTACGCTTCTTTTGCAGCTCTCCAATGTTACCTCAGCGCAGATACCAGAAACAAGTTCAGATATTTCACTATAGACACCACCAAAAGGGGTTCGTCTTCTGAACTGCTACTTCGCGTCTCTCCTCCCTGCTGCCTCTCCTTTAAATGTCTAACCAACTCATGCAGGCATAGAAAGTATCGCCTGACCTGCTTTACGTATAGCCCATCCTCAGCTCTCTTAGCCTTCACAAACGAAGTAGACGCATTTCTTAAATGGAACAACAAAATCTGTGTACAAAATTTGTCATTCGTATGCTCCTTAAAATTTCGTATGAGTAATGTTAAAAAGTTGTTTAAATTCTCCAACTCTGTGCATGTAAAAAACTTCCGCTTTTCATAAAATTTAAAAAGAAAATGAATTATTTGTTCCTGCACATGATCAGGTATCCCTTTGACTTTGTCCCCCCAGACAAGTTCGCAAATTTGGTTAAAAGTCACTTCGCGAGAAGTGGACGAATCGGAACTTGGGCCCCTCATGGGTAGAAAAGATTGTTCGTGGAGGAATGAAAGAATTATGTTTTACTCCAGAGGCATCTTTTTTTTTTTTATGAGTTCCTCTATCTACTGCTTCTCTCCCCATAAGCATAGCTTCACTCGTGACAGGACGCTCAGTAGGACGCAGCTCTCTCCCCCTCTGTCCAATCTTTTCACACAATGGACATTATACTCATAAGTTTGAGATATTTTCCCAAGTCGTTCCTCTTCCAAGGGTCTATCAAAAAGTCCTTACCGTTTGGAGCACGTGTGCGCCCTTTTTTATGTGCAACATAAGGGGAAAAAAAAAAAAAAAAAAAAAAAAAAATGACACAATGGACATAACACTGAGGACAAGCTGCTTAACCACAATATAACATTCGAAAGGGCTAATTGACGTTTCCTTTTTTTTAACTCGTCTAACGGGAGAAACTAAGCGCAAACCTTCGATGAGTTAAAGACGAATAGAGGAGGAAAAAAACAGGGGGGGAGAATTTCGCACTCATTTTTTTTTTGCGAAAAAAATTGTCCCCTTTTGGCCTACCTCTTCCTTATTCTGCGCACTGTGTTCTCTGTTCATCTGCACGTTCCCCCCAAATGTCCATCAAAATGAAAACAACCTTCCCCCCCTGAGTGAATCAAATATGAGCGCTTTACCCCGCAGCAAAACGTGCAGCGTGCGTAGAATTCGCAACATCGGTGAGTCCGATGAGCACCTGTGTGAAGACCAGCACAAGTCACCCCCATATAAAAGAAGAAAAACGACGGAGTTTCAACAATCCGGAAGGAGGAACAATTGGGAAAGCATCTCCACCAGTGAAGTGAAGATACAAGGACGTTTCTCCTCCGAAAAGGAACACATACACAAGGAACCACCCGCCAAGGATGACGCCACAAGTAAATCTCCCCCCAGTTGCTCAGACCCACAGAATGCCTCAAAGGAGGAAACGCAAATTAAGAAATACAGCATCGATTTTGATACCTTCAATGAGAGCATGTTCGATGTAAGTATCGAGCTCGGTGATAGAGACCTAGGGGAAGGTCCCCAATTTGAATGCACATCAGAGGATACGGAGGGAGACACAGAGAGTGCTCCTTACCAGAATAACGAGGATGAAAAGGATGACGAAACCGAAAGGAGGAGAGATAACCTCAGAAGAAGCAACCACATGGGGAACAGAGACTACCATGAGGAGAAGGGGAACACACCCAAATCGTCTATGCACTTCTACAATAGCAGTGAGAACTCTTCGCACAGCTCCCTCGACGTAAACGAAATTTTACAAACAAGGACCCACGAACGAGTGGAAAAAAAAAACAGAAACACGTACATCCTGCAACACAAGGAGAGAATTAGGGAAAGGAAAAATGAAAAAAAAAACACAAAAAATAATAGCACTTATAGTAACAATTTAAAGAATAACTTTTTAAAGATTACCAAAACGACAAAAGACAATGTGAAGAGGGCCAGCATCGCCAGTGTCATGCTCGAGAATTTGTCTAACCGGGACCCCGACAGCGACTTCGGAAGCGAAGTTAGCAGTGGCAACAGTGAAAACAGCCATATGAGTGAAAAATCAATATAGGGATGGCACAGCAAGTGCCTCCCTAAATGTACTAAAGAAATCTTCATGTACTCTCCACAGGACGTAGCCTTAAATAGGGGCCCATTACCACGACGGCCAATTTGACAAAAAAAAAAAAAAAAAAAAGGATCACTTCTCTCTTCTCTTAGTATCTATTTTGTTTTTCACCATTTTTAATATCTCCCCTTTTTTGCATGCTCAACTTTAAAACGTTCACCCTTCATCTATAACTACCCAACCCTACTACATTCCCTTTAAACGTTACCATGTGCTGTCCTGAATGCACAAAAATGAAAAGGCTGAACGGCAAGGTTCCTCCTTTTGGAACTAAGCGCCACGTGGGTGTAACTAAGAAATTTCTCAGGAGCCACCTTTATGTGCTCTTGAGGGAACGTCCATTTTTTCTTTTCCACAATCATCACATTGGAAAAGTTTGAGAAAAAAAAAAAATAATAATTTTGTGTGGGGGCGGAGGAGGGATATCTATCAATGTTACTATGCTTTTACTAGTTAATTTTTTTTTTTTTTTTGTCCCTGGGCGCGCCGCTGCATAGCTCTCGCATCGGTCTTTTTTTTTTTTTTTTTTTGTCAGAATGGAAAGCATTTCATTTTGCACTTCTCCTCACAAGTAGGATACCAAACAGGGCATTCCCTTTTTGCGTGTCTATGTGTAGGAGAGGAGGGATTGGCCAACGTTGGGGCGCGGACCTCCACACAAATATGGAACACCTCCGAGGGAATCCTCATCTGTACAAAGAAAGGTACCCCTCTCTAACACGGATACGCGCATACCCTTCATAACATTCGTGACAAAATGACCACGCAAAAGGAAGAAGCGTTAAAGATAAGCAACGTGTATCTGCATCGAGATGGCAAACTGGAACTCATAAAGGAGTTGGAGAATGTCTTTATTAAGGAAGTATTCACATGTGGCCACAGCATAAACATTTTCATAAAAGGGAAAGAAGGAAACAAACACAATACGTTTATTCAGTTAGACAGCACACCACTTTCGAGTGCATCTTCCAGTGGAAAGAGCTACTTAAACATATCCTCCAGTGACATAAATGATTGTGAATTTTTAACTAGAGATTTTGTTTTGTATGCTTTGCGCAGGAAGGGAACTCCGTCTAGTGGATCCTCGCAACATGGAGACCATTTCGATCACAACAACAAGGGGAGTGTTCTCCAGAGGAGGGACATAAAATCGACGACGGTGCATCGTGGAAGGGTAGCTACATGGTGTTGCCCCTTACAAAGTGAGAGTTCCCTTCAAAGAGGGCACACCGATATAACCCCTCTTAAAGAAAATGCGCAAAACTACATAAAATGGTTGCCCGTCAATACGAAGAAAATTTTTCTGGGGGAATTTCAATTTTACGGACTGGACGAGGAAAATAAAATTTTCACATGGCATACAGATGTTCATTCGAAAGACAAAATAATTTACAACTATCAAACAAAATTTGTTAATTATGTAAACCTGCTGGATAAAATAAAAATAGATAATGTATCATGCGGACAAAGTCACGCTCTCCTTTTGTCCACAAATAAAAACTGCTATGTGATGGGCAGTAATGACATGTACCAAGTATGTGCAGAAAAAAAAGGGCAAAAAAAAATTCTTTTTTATTCCTCCCCGCAACTGATCAAGTTGGGCGAGGATGTGAACAAAAAGGTGAAATTTATTGCTGCTGGATATTCACACAACTTAATTTGTACTTACCAGAATGAGGTATACGGGTGGGGGAATAACCTACACGGTCAGCTATTTCTTGAGGACCCCTTTGTAAAACGGCCCACGCTTATTTTCGACTCCAAACAATGGCACAAACTTATGGTAAAAAAGCGGAAGCTTAAAAGGGTCAACAAAACGGGTACCAATAGCTACACACTAGCAGCCGCATTTAACGACCATGTCGCAAAACAAAGTGGAAGTAGCCAGCCCGAGTACAACGACGAAAATGATAACCCCTCCCAGACACCCAACAGGGCACAGCATCCCCCACATAAGTACCCTCAAAGGGACAAATTTGCGAAATGTATTGAACTTATCAATAGGGATAATTATGAGTATAAGAAAACGAAAAAATGGAGAGACAAAAATAAATTCAAAGTTAAAAAATTATGTTGTGGGTTTTCCTTCTCCTGCCTTCTTTTAAAAAATAATAACTGCTATGTAGTCGGGAAGACCAACCCCACACTTGCTAGTAAAAAGGAAAAGATAGACACCCTTCTCAGGATAAATAAAAAAAAAAAAATCGAGGACATTTTTTGTAATTTTTTTAATATCATCCTTGTGGATAATTTAAAGATAGAGAAAATTTGTCCCCAAATTATTCACCCCTCTTCCGACAGGGCCATTTTTCTCCACTTGAACTTCCCCCTTAAGGATTCCCTCAACTGCAGGGTTGGGCTTAACCACATGAATCAGGACAATTTGGTTAGTTCTTGCTCACAGGGTGGCGCCTTCCCGGATGCCAAAAAAGGGGAAACCCCCGAGAGGCTGCATCTCTACCTAAGTTATGACAATGGAAGTGACGAGGGATTTGGTGAACAGGACAGAAGGGATCATAAAGATGGAAGTAGTCACCCGTTTGACATATCTGCACACACACTATGGGAAAAAAAAAAAAAAAAATATTGGACATCCTGCCAATTTTACCAAAGCGAAATGGAAAGAAAATTATTCCTCAACTTATACAATGAGCATTTCTCCATTCAGTACAAACAGTGCAGCATCATGCTGACCAGCTACAACGGACAGGTTTTGCAGCTCTCCCCGAATAACTGCGCACTCATGAGGAATATAAAATTAAAAATTAAAATTAAAAAGGCACCAATCCAAGTCGAGTCCGACAACGTCTACGTGCTTTTCCACTTCACCGATGAGTACAATAATGAGGTTTTCAAATATAGCAAGGGGAGCATCAGGCGAGGTGGAAATTACATTTACACAAAGGTTCCTTCCATCCTGGAGGAGGACGTTCTAGAGGGTTGGGCAGATGGAACAGCCGGGAAACATGAAGTTGATGAGGTCAATAGTGCCGCTTGCATTGGGGGAAATTCCGACACACGTGACGAGAGCGACATCGCCAACAGTTGTAGGGACGCCCCCACCGGCGAAGACACAACCATCAACACTCACCGCTTCACCAAATGCAACGTGCATTACTCACTGGGTCACAACTTCTACGCCGACTCTCTTCCCATCACAATCATAAAACCGGATATCCTCAATATCACACCCAACTTTGTGTACATACACGACAATAGCCCTATTCGAATAAACATGCTCCACCTCTCTAGCAACTTCGAATATATTTATGTCACTCTGAGTAACCCCCGTCTGCCCATTATACGTGCGAAGGCCTACTACGACAGCGAAGAGGGAAACTTCTTTTTCGCTGTCCCTCCAATTCCTACAGGAGTTTTCCAAAAGGCTCAGCTGGGTAAAACAAAAGAGGGGGGGCAACAAAATTAGGGGATTGGCAAAACCGCTAGAAAGTAGCGCGCTCACTAGGGGGGGCACCCCCCCTGTCGGCAGAGATTTATTTCCTCCTTTTTTACAATCATTTTTATCCTCATCTCCTACATTTTCCAATGTTAAAAATGTTTCCCCTCCTCCTTCAGGCTTCATAACACTCCACGTATCCGTTTCGTACAACAATGTAGAATACAGCCAGAATGAAGTTATCCTCACCATATCAAATGTGAACCCGGAAGGAAGCATGGATGATACCAATGGGGGCAATAATGAGGGGGAAGGGTAAAATGGAGGTGGGCATTACGAAGAATAAGCCATTCGTTTATATGACTCTTTCCTCCTTCTCCCGGAGATATAAATAATGGCACACACAATGTTAAGCGGCATCAGAAATGGGAAAATACCCGACGGCGCAACTTCCTTTCCTTGTGCAGAGTTGTAACCCCTCACCCTTTTCCCGGTTGTGTCCTTGCCAAGGACCATGGCAACGTTTATCCATTTTACATTTTAACATTTACACATGTGTACATACCACGACGGGGTGACTTCAACATGTGTGCATAGTTCCAGAGTACGGACCATGCCCGCGTGACGTAACCTTTTGGGGGATGGCCGTTCTGCTTGCCATTTTGACTTAGCTTATTTTTATGACTTTATTTTATTCAATTTTATTTTATTTTTTTTTTGCTAATACGCGTGACATATGTGTTTAGTTTAAATATGTACATTATGGAAGAAAAAGAAAAAAAAGGGGAGTTACAAAAAATAAATAAATTGATAAAGATATATTTTTTAAAAAAGGGCAACATTGCCAACGAGGACATCACACATGCACACAACAACACGGAGCGCTGTCAAACAAAACGGAAAATAATTAATTCGATTCTTCCGCGACGCACATGTGAATACAAATTGTGGGCATCTTCTGCTCCCTTCCTTGTCGTTATATCTGCAAAAAGGGAAAGAGAGAAAAAAAAAAAACAAAAAAATGGGGAAGACATCCAAATGAAGTGCAAACTGAATACACATAAAGATCTACACATACATATATACATACATATGCACATGCACATGTGCACACGTTCATCATCGTGGGTGTGGCGTAGGGTGCGTTTTCCCCCCTTCTGCTGTTGATTCGTCCACTTACGTCTTCTATTTCCAATTTTCTCGCGTTGTTCATTTCTTCTTGGGCCTCCTCGTCAGATTCATCGTCCAAAAATTCGACTCCGTTCTGTGCGTCGTCATCAAAAATGTCCGTTTCGTTGATTTTGGCAGTTTCGGGCAATTCTCCGTGCGTTTTCAGGCTCCTTGCCTCGTCAGGGGTGTATCTGTGTAAGGTAGGAAAAAAGAGAAAGGCAATGTAAATTGGGTTGATATGTTCTTCTTCACATGTTTTTTTCCCACTAGTAGGTGTGTGAACGCAAGCAGCAAAAAAGGGGATAGGCCCAATGGAGTCACAGCTGCGATTGGCTAGTCCCTCTTAGATATTTTCAATTACTTCGCAATGACATCCGCCTTGCTGTCTTGATAGTCCCGCAGGGATACTAAAATGATATCACCAGAGTTAATCCAAACCCTCTTTCTCATTTTCCCCCTATGAAAGAAAAAAAAAATTGGACATTTCACCACCATATACCATTAAACTGCAGGTATCTATGAGGAGCGCATACGTTGCAACGTGAACCATGTGTACTTCTTTTTTTCTCTTTCTTCTGATGCTCTTTCAGCACTTACCTAATATGACACAGTCGCTTTACGCCATCAAAGCAATGGGCCTCCAATCGGCCATTTCCCAACATCCTTAACACTTGTGCGTATTCTACAAAAGGAAACGAGAAAGCACCGAATTTTTTTTACGTCTTTTTTTTTTCGCTTAAATAGTACACCACGCACATATTCACCGGTGTGGAAGTCAACAGTGCATGGGGGTCATGTCCGCTGCGACTTCTTTTCGACACATGGGCTAACGTGTACATAAAGACATAAACACGAGAGAATAACAAGGTGCACTCGTGTGATAACACGAACAACCCTCGTTCTCCCTGGCATACAAATGTTACCTTGGTCTTCCTCCTTGTATAGCAGTTCCCGCTTCTCCCCTTCGTTGTCATTTTTTCCTCTCCTTCTGTTTTTTCCTCCCTTTCCTATACACAAGTTTCGGATCAAAAAAAAAAAAAAATAAAATAAAATAAATTTGAACACACGCACGTGTTGCCTTTTTAAAAAAGCATGTCTGCCCGGGCTGCAGACATACGGTAAATATGTTGCGCTCAGAATGAGAGTATTTCCTTCAAAGTACTCTCGGCGTGTGTAGAGTGGGAGTAATTATACATCACACGAGTGCGCAGAAGGTGTTGCCCCTAAAGGGGCTGCAGTCTACAAAAGGCAGCGGGCTTAACCTTTATTCTTTGGCATCTTCTAGACGTTCACATAAAATAATTTCCCAACGGAATTTTCAACTATGATAAGTTGCTTGTCTTCCTTTTTTTTTGTTTTGACAATGTAAACGGCTCACAATTTACACTGTTGCATGTGCATCCGTGATAACTCCCAGATGAGCAGATGATCGTGTGACAACCGGCAGTGCAGGCGGGCAGCAGGCCGTATGCGCTCGGGAAATTAGGAGTCTGCCTTATTACGTATTGACTGACAAAAACAGTTGCTGTTTCGTTTTTTTTATATTTTTTCTTTTTTTTCTACGCGGGGATACAACACGAGCTATTCTTCTTCTGCCTTATCCATACAAAATCGTATGCGTTTTTTCCCAGAAAGGGCAGATAATTTGTTTTTTCCTTAGGGGTGGAAATTAAATCTAATTAAACTAAACAAGTTCTATCTGCTTCTGTTCTTTTCTCTTAACTACATATCATTAAATCAAATTAAAAAAACATACATATATACTCAAAATTGTTTTATATTTTATTTTATTTTTTTTTTTTATAACATGGTCAGGTGATTTTTACGCTGCAAGGCGCACAAGCGCGCAAATGTAAAGTTACAAATTATTTGGGGCCTCAAAAGGGGAAAAATGACGAAAGGCAAATTTTAAAAAGTCATAGGCAGCTAAATGAGTAAATATAAATAAATGCTCATCGTATCGACGCAAGCACATATACGTGTTACTTGCACATAACGTGTATAATGTAGCTACCCCTGTGGCTGTCATGTATATAAATACATAATGATAAAATGCTTTTCACAGCACGTCGGCATGGGAAAATCTGAATAATGCAGAATGGCAGATAAAAATTGCTGCGGAAAAAAATTGCAATAAGCACTGAGAGCAATTATATTAGCAAAATAAGTAAAAGGGGGGACCCTATAAAATCAAATTGGCCAAAGGAGAAAATGCAATTGTGCATATAATTATTATGGGGTATTATATACAAATAGATGAAGCAGGAAAAAAAAAATATATTGTATTGAGGGGGAAAAAAAAAGGGGTGGGTGGGCAAACAGCGAAAAGGCAAATGGAAAGAAAAAAAAAAGAAAAGAACGTTTTTTTGCTTTAACGGATGGTGATATTTTATATGCCCATTGTCGAGCCAGAGTGCCATTAAAAAAAAGCGTCGTATTGGGGCACAATATAAATGTGATTTTATAGCTTTATAACCCTCCTCGGAAGCGAACCTTGCGGGATTGCAACGGGCGGTGCATATGTATATAGTCCCGTATGGTGGCATATACGCGCGCATATATAATTTATTGCAGCCTGTTTCCCAAAGGGATGGTAGGTTATCTGATGCCACAAGTCCTTTCTCCTATCATTTTCTTCTTGTCACTTTTTCTTCTTATGTTTTACTTTTTTTGTTCCTGTTGCCCCTTTTTATTTTTCCTTTTTTTTCCTGCAAATAGCTGAATAATGCAAAAGTACCCAACCGCGGCGACTGTTCTGGAATTTCTGCTTTTTTTTTTTTTTAAATGACTGCTATCATTTTGAAAAAAAAAAAACCCAAACCGTCTTGTTCGCATCAGATGTCACATAGAAATAAAGGAATGCCTTTAGTTACCGCATTGCATACGCCAAAGGAAAAGGACGAGGAACGTTTTTTTTTTTTTTTTGTTCCCAGCTTGTTAATCGTGTCCCCATGATTTAGTTGCGATTCTTTTGTACATAAACGCATAAGCGCAAGATTTGTACGTCCAACGTTTGCATGGAGAACTTTTGAAGGAAAAATAATTATCCACAAGGGAAACATTTCGCATCATTTTGTATTGCATCGTTCTGTGCCGAACCCCTACGTGCTGCCTGTTTTTGCTGTCCTGCTAGCTTTCCCCGCGTCGTAGCATATGTATGTCCAGATGGCCACCTACTGAGAGGCACTCAAAAATGGCCACCAGTCATGGTCACTTCCAGGGCCGCAAAAACTGAGCATATAGCCCCATGCGTGCGTAACGCAGTGGTACAGATGTGCAATCATTTATATCTGCTTCTACATTGTGCGAACTTTCTCGAAGTTTGAACCGTGAACGTTTTAAAACAAGAGCACACAGGAAGACATATCAAGGAAGAGTAGTCGGATAATCGATAACACAGTTTCCACAGCATGTCCGTAAATTAGTCACATAACACAGGGACAAATAAAACGAGAACCTGCAAGGGAGACCCAGCTGAAGTGCCTATTCGAAACGAGGAACAATCCAAGGATACAGAAAAGAAAGGTGTGTAACTGCGTGCGCAGGGCAGGAGACTCAATCTGAGCTGTTTCGGAGAGTCCCCCACCTGACCTTACACACGTTCTGCGTATCAACTTGCGGGAAGGGTACATCCCTATATTGCATACTTCCACGCGGCGCATTTCCCTGGTCTACTCCCTTTCCCACTGTTCACCTGCCTACCGCTACCCCCGTGACAAGGATACGCACGAGCCAAGATGAAGGGAGTGAAGTTCAGGGATAACTTCGTGAAGCTGAAGGAGGAGGGACCCCGAAACGCAACGACAACAAATTTCTACGGATCGTATTTCTTGTCCGAAAATGAACACATGTTTGATATAAACGAATTTGAAAAAAACCTGGAAATGAAGATGCACAAAAATGAAGAGAACTTGCTAATCCTTGAAATAAAAAATTTAAACGTATCCATTGCAAACGCCCTGAGAAGAATAATGCTGGCAGAGGTACCAACCATTGCGATAGAAAAAGTTAATATATTTCAAAACACAGGAATCATTGCTGACGAAATGTTGTGCCACCGTTTGGGACTTATCCCATTTAAGTTTGACGCAGATTTGATCAATTTCAAAGAAGAGTACGAAAAATATAATCATTTAAATTGTTTTTGTTTTAAACTTCATGTGAAATTTACGAAAAAGGTTGGAAGTAGCGAAACTTCCCAGAGCATTTACTCTAGGGACCTAAAATGGTGTCCCATTAATGAACAACAGAAGGTACGCTTTCAGAAAAACCCACCCAGAGTTGTCGATGATAATATATTGATTACAAAATTAAGTAATGGACAGGAGATAGAATTGATTTGCTTTTTGGAAAAAGGGATTGGGAAAACTCATGCCAAGTGGTCTCCTGTTTGCACTGCCGTGTATAAAATGTACCCTGCATTTTCTTTTAATACGTCTGAGACGTTTACCAAGGAAGAAAAAAACGACTTGGTAAACATTTGTCCAAAGAATGTCTTCGATGTTGAAGACAGTGACACCTTGGTTGCCAAAAACCCTTTAAATTGCTCATCTTGCAGAGTGTGCATAGAGAAGTACCCCAAAAAAATTTCCTTCGAAAAGGTCAAAAATCATTTTATTTTCACCATCGAATCAACAGGGTGCTTTTCTGCGGCTGACATTTTCAGGAAGGCACTCCTCATCCTGAAAGACAAGGTGGTCAGCGTCAAGGAGGTCTTGGAGGACCAGACTAAGACCTAGCGTAAACGAGGTCCACCTACACATCGCAACGTGGAGAAGCTCAAACGTTGGAGGCGTGTATAATTATTTGGGCCCCTCCCTCGTTTTACCTCTTTTTTTTTCCTTCCACTGTTTGATTTCTCACGCCAAAAATGTGCTCTTATATTTGTTTTCCTCCACACTCAATTTGGCTAAAACTGTTCCTTGTTTATTCCCATATGTTTGTGTTTTTAATAACTCCCCCCCTTTTTTCTTTTTTTTTTTTGCGATAATTTGTAATTACCCATTTGAAAATGCCATCCTCGGTTGTCAGGTACCATGTTCGTTAGGACATACGGTGGGGGTGCACTCCCCCGAAGCCTCCCTTCCTGTGAGCATTTTTCAGCGGGTAGTGTGTATCCGGATGGGTTAGGACACATACGTCACCCTCCGGGTAAACGCAGTTCGTCTACCGATTAGGACACACCCCTGAGAAGCGAGAGGTGTTTTTTTTTTTTGTCTGGCAGATGCTTCTCCAGAATGGAACGAATAATGTGGTGCATTCGATGCTACGTCGAGTTTCGTTACGCCATGTTACTCACTTGAGTAGGCGCTGATCAAAAAAAAGGTGCGAAAAAAAGGAAGCAAAAAAAAAAAAAAAAAAAAAAAAAAGTAAAAATGGGGACCCACGAAAAATCGCTAACGATGAAGTTAAGTCGAAACGAAGATGAAACGCCTCAT